TAATTATCTCCCCTTGAAAGAGGGCGTGGCCCTTCATTTGAACAAACCTGAATTCCCTTTACCCAAGGATACTTTGTGGCAAGTTTGGTTGAGATTGGCCCAGTGGTTCTTGAGAAGAAGTCGAAAATGTGAAAAGTTTACAGACAGACAGACAGACGGAGAGACGGACAGACAGACGGACGCCGGACAAAATGTGATCAGAAAAGCTCACTTGAGCTTTCAGCTCAGGTGAGCTAAAAAAGTGAAAATAAATTCTTTGTGAAAAAATCAAAAGCCATAAAATTAAAAAGGAAATATTAAGCAGTACATGAAGAGGTCATGGGTGGAGTTCGGAAATGTTCATTTTTATACACATTTGATAAAAAGCAAGCTTATAAGAATTAAATTTAATTACATTACTTTATTTTAAATTTAACCTCTGGATTTGACTCTAGATAAAAAATTTAACATGTGAAAGACAGCCTTTTGGAGGCTTCGTGAATGTTCTTACATATATTTAAAACAAATTACCTGATATTTTAAAACTCTCCAGGAATAGGTGATTTTCAAAACAAGAACGATAACTGTACAGCTTGGATAAGATTTGGTGGAAAATTTGGAAAAGGTTTTTTTTTTCAGAAATTGTGTTTTTGTCGCTGACAAATTCGTTGCATACCTCAATACAATGAACCCTAAAAATACTCTTCCAAAGTAACATACAACTTGTTGTTTCTTTACAAAAGAACTTACGACTAAGATGCCATAACTTTTATATAGAATAATTAATTTTGAAAAACTTTACAATCGGCTAAAGTATTTGGTCTTAGTCGTAAGTTCTTTTGTAAAACGGGCCCATGTATCCTAAATTTATCCCTTTTTTATTTACGATGCTGGTTCCAGAATCACGAACGAATTTTGACTTAAAGTTCATCATTCTTCTGTTAATCAAATAATATTTTGCCTTGATACGTACAAATGATTTTCCAAATGAAATCTAAATTATAACTGATATGCGAACAATTTCAGCATACCTTGCGGTACAAGGTCCGTGGGGGGGGGGGGGGGGGGGATATATTCTCCTTTTAACAAGTATATCTCTTGTCATCACTAAAGGACCTTGACAATATCTTGGCTATAATTATCTTCTTTTGTCATCAAGATATGAAACACGGTAATGTCATAAGCATAAACAAATCTAAATTTGAACACTCCATCAAATGGTTTCGAAGGTGCATCAAATTGCGAATTCACTACCTCAATGTCAAGTGACTTTATCTTCAAGATATGATCTTGAGTCATAAACATAACACATATTAGTCATCAGCAATTGCATTCTTAAGTCTGTATAACATTCTTCAAAATTCTGACTTTTGAAAAATTACCTTGCGTCAAAATCTAGCTGCGGAACTGTGGCTCTCTGGTTGAGAAATTCGGACAGACAAACCAGAGAGTTACATATCCAAGCATTGTAAAAGCCTTCGATTTACGGCGACGCTTTTTGTCGCACACTTTAGGTATTTTTTTTTATTATATGCATCCCCCTGCTAAAAGCATGGTATCCGCTTATTAACCAAATCATGACAAAGAGCACACGGCGGGTGTGACGGGTCGGCAGGGGATGTTCACTCCTCCATGGCATCTGATCCCACCTCTGATGTTGTAGAGGTCAGTGTTTGCTCTGCTTAATGGACCTTTGAACTTGAACACTGTTCGTTATTTCCATATATTTCATATTCTACTCCCAACCTTGTTACATGTACTTTCTTTACTTTTCAACGATCCTAAACAGATTATGTAGCCAGGAATATATATTTCCAAAAACTTCGCATTCCGGCATTCATGTCAGGGTCATGCTGTCAGGGATCGTTGAAAGGTAAATAAAGTATCAAGATAATGGATAAATTATATGTTTTTAAATTAACAGTTACCATGCCTTTGGAGGGGACATGCAATTAATTAATATAATACAAGAAATAATACCCTTAGCCGGCGTGCACAAGAAATTAGCGTCGCCGTAAATCGAAGGGTTTTTTACCATTCTTGAATCTGTAGTTCTCTGGTTTGTCTGTCCGAATTTTCTCAACCAGAGAGATACAGTTCTGCTGCAGGTTAAAATCATTTTGGACATGAGCAACAATACAATAATGTTTAAACCCATTCTAATCAATCCTTCAAGAATGAGCACGATTTTTTTTAAGGACAGACGTTTATTCAGAGGACAAGTCAGACAGATGGACAACCCTGCCAAGCTCAATGAATCCTTCCTGTGGAGAGGCATAATAATCAAACAATATTTTACTGCCATGCTTATTAATGTCCTCATCATACAATAGGTTCGAGTATTAATAGTAATTAACTCAATTAAAAAAAAGCTTTTTTATAACAGTTATCCCAAAGTGTACCTTTTGCTATCATTTTATGAACATCATGACATAAAATTGACCTTTATGACATTTTGTCAATCTCATGACACACCATTAGCTCAATGATTCCTTCTTTTGCACAACATGTCCATTCCGCTGCATATCAGAATCGCTTCGTGGACTGTTTATCCCTGTGCAACAATATTGAGGATATGAACAGAATTTACTGCTATTCAACACGTTTGATAGTTCAAGGAGTATTTTACAGGTACACTGTTTGGTGTTTTTATAAGTTGGCATATTAAATACAATAAGAAGCAGAAGTTAAACAATAATCTTCTTTATAAAAACCACCCTTATTTACATGTGAATAATAAAACTTTCAAAAATCTAGATTTTCATTGCAAAATTCATTTATACTAAAAAATGCATGAATGTTGAAATGTTTGCAAAGAAATTTTTTAAACAAATATAGCTGCAGAAATAAGAATGATAAGCCAATCCTTCTTGGAACAAAACTTCAGGCAGTTGTATTTCACAACTGTAAACCTTATCTGAGTGTTTAATTGGGATTTTTATCATTTCTAGGAACACGGATATTAATATGTAACTATACAATACCAATTGATCATAATAAATCAAAACGCCCAACTCCCAACAAATCTGGTGTCAAAATACAAAAAAGAAGAAAATCCCGGTGATATGATTGTAATCAGATTTCGGAGCAAATCCCTATGGTATCCTATTAAACACCACTGAGCCAAACTATGGTATCACTGTGAATCAAATAAAGAAAGGTACAGAATCTAACGCCTCTAACATATGGAATAATTGAATAAAGGAATACAAAATCTGCAATTATCATCAAAAGAGAAATGTGAGGACTTCGAGAAAGATAGGAATATACCTTCATGTAAAGTTCTAAAATTGTATACAAAAATTTCCTCCGTTAACAAACATCTTACAGCACAACAAAGGAAAAATGACGGCATCGAAAGGAAAGAACAGACAATAAGAATTTTTATTAAAGCTAGCGTGTATTTAGCAGCAGTGTATTCATAATTAAACCATTATTTGAGACATGTGTAAAAGACGTGAAAAATCATAAGCCATAAATTTTAATAGGAAAATTACGTTCATGAAGAGATCATAGGTGGGGTTCGGAAATGTTCATTTAAGTACACATTTCATAAAAATCAAGTTCATGGAAATAAGGCGAAAAATTGTGATATTAAAATAAACTCTGAAATAGAATCTGGAAAACAACTTAAACACATGGAAGAACAAATTAATCTGAGAGCCTTTTGGCGGCAAGGTCAATGTTCTTAAGCATAGCTTCTAAAAAATAAGTTGTTTTTAAATTCTTTCCTTTGGACAGTTAATGAAGTATACAGACTGCAAAAGATTTTATGAGAAATTCCGTATGTTTTTCAGATAGTATTTCTGACCGCTAATTCGTATAATTACTTAATACTTAGTTTATATAATAAAACATACACTAATAACTTACAGTTGTCTCATGAAATAACGGGTGTTCCAACAACGCAGATTAGGGTGGATGATTGACATAAAATGTATGGTTGTTAACCTTCTCACGTTTTATTGTTCAGTTCTACTAAAAAAGTAAAATTTTACCCGAAGGTACCCGCCTTCTTAATCTAAAAATTATTGTAAATGTTTAATCGAATTCTGTTGAAAAAAAAATTTCCTAAAGGTATCCGCTTTTTCAATTTTAGATGCTGGCTTCAGGATCATGAAACAATTTAGACTTAAAGTTCACATCCCCCGGTTTACTCATATAAAATTTTGCTCTAATAATAACAATTCTTCCAAAAGAATCTAAATCACAAGTGAAATGAGGAGATTTTCAGCTTATTTGAGGTACAAAATTTGACACATACAATATCGCCTTCTAATTTGACATTTTAGGAATGTCTTAATCCCTGTGCAAGGTATATCTCTCAACAGAGGGTAAATGTACCTTAAGTTATAATCAGTTCATTGCCCTGAAATATGTAGAGGTCAAAGAGTCCAAGATAAATGATTTTTCATGATGACATCGCCAAAGTGCTGCTATCTCTAAATTTTGATTTCAGTTCGTAATAAAACAAGTATCTTACATAAGACTGAAATTTGACTTTATTTCAAGTCCCGGGGCCAGATCTCTGAACGCAATTTCAATTTCCACTTTCAGTACTGTGATAGTGCTATAGAAAAATACACATTAATTTTGTTCAGATTTTTTACAGCGTTTTCTTTCCATGTATACTTTTCAAAGCACATTCTTCTCTATGTACCTTTCACAGCGTTTTCTTTTCCATGTAATTTTCACTGTCATTTTCTTTAACACCAATACTCTTTTTATCATTTTCTTTTCTGTGTACACGTGTATTTCATATTATCTTTTTTTTTAAATCTAGAAGTACATTGTGTGGTCTAACACAAATTAATGTTGCAATAACATGTTTTAGAACACAAATATGAAGAACCTTAGTTGTTCTTTTCTTCAATGCAATTCATGCAATACAAAACGAACAAAATTAAACGTTTCTTTTTATTCAACGTAAAAATAACTCAATATTCATTTTTTTTAATTTATAAATATTAAATATATTGCTTTTAAAATTATTAAATTAAATTTTAAAAAATACTGATAAACATTTCACCACTACTGCTTAAAAATAAATTCTAATTCACAATCAAAATGTCTTTTTTTTATGTAACACTACTTTCATTAATATTTGTATCAGAGTCTGTGTTGCTCTCTTCTCTTCCTTGTAGCTGATCATGAGTACTTTTTTGCAAATCAGGGTTGGTCAATAGGGGTTCAGCTGTGTCGGTTTTGTCATGGTGTATACTATTCACAATTGCAGTACTTTCTATATTAATCTGTTGACCATCCCCGATTTTGTTTCCTGAAAACACATCATCTTCAACTTCGGAATTTTCAGAAGTTGCTTCTATTCTATTTTCTGAATTCTTGGAATTCACATTCATCACTAATCTATAAATATGCAAGGGTTCACTCCTGTCCAATGACTCAACATGTCGAAGTCCGCTCAAATCAAAATTCTGGATAGACAAGGAATGTCTGAGAGAACGCAAGTTGGGACTACTTCTGTCGTTAACAACTGGGGTTTGCTTTAAACTTTCCCTCCTATCAACGTTTTTGATGGACGAGGTCAGGGTTTGTAAATTTTCCCGACTTCTCTCTTCAAACGCAGCAAATAAACTTTGTATACTGTCTGGGGCTTCCGGTGATCCTATGAAAACAAACTCAAGAGTTGATAATTTGATTAAGTATTTTCCCCTACGCAAGCATTTTTTCAGAGAAATCAGGGATACACTTTTGGGGGTTTTGATGAGGGCTTTTTTTTGTCAGAGGAAGAAAAAATCATTCTCTTACCTTTAGAATCCCTCTTTGTTACTACCTCAGGAGAGGTTGCAGAAAGTTGTCTCTTTGTGATATGTGCATTTAGAAGGTCACGGATTCTAGAAACCTATATAACCAATGATAACGATTTATATAATAAATATACATTTTACATTTTGAAAATTGATGAAAGTGCTTACTTTAACATTAAGGCTAAGTCTGAATTTAGTGTGGTGGTTCATCCGAAAAGAGTACACGCAAATAGAAGAGTACATGTATGTAGAAAATATAAGTTAGCATTACCATCTTCACAGTTACATTGTACATAGAATGTATTTTTGCAAAAAAAAAATACAAAAGCTGCGAAAAATAATGTTCTACAGAGAATGCCAAAGTAGAAAAAGAGAAAAGAGAAATATATTAAAAGATTTATTGGTGATATTCCATTTTATTCATACTGCCTGCCTATGATAATATATGGGCCTAGTGTTCTAAATACTCGTGTTTGAATTAATTCAGAGAAAATGACATTTTAGCATTCCATTAAAATATTGATAAATCGGGTTCCTGTGATGTAGGAAAGGGAAATATGTTCCCAATATTGTGTTTTGATTTGCTAAAATATGCTATAAAATATGGCAAGATTAGTCATTTGGTAAAAATGTTACATTTTCAAACACATTTTTCTATAAATTTCCTATCTCTGAGTCAACTCTCCACGATTTTAAAACTCAAAGCATTTTAACTCAAAGAAACGAACAACTGTTACACTTGTAAAAAAAAAATGGAGAGAAGACCAAGAGACCATAAAAAATGAACTTTCCCCCCAAAAATCACTTTGTTTAATCTATTTTATTGTCGTTTAAAAACCCAACCTTAGTATGCTGCGACGATAGCACAGTGATATGTTACTGTCCATGACAGTGATGAATCGATAAGTTTTGGTTTTATCCTCGCACGGAACGTTTTTTGTAAACAATGAAGTCGTTTAATTTTATTTTTTTTTAATTTATCAATTATAAAATTTAAAAGTAAAGTTTAATTTTGATTATGTTGCACCGAGAACAAAAACAATTCTTCCCACAAACTGAAACTTTAATACATCTAGTGCATCTAAAAGTCTTCTATTAGTTTTCAGCTGCTTCATTCCCAAACCAACAATCCACTTCATTTTATTCCAATATAAACTACGCTCACCTCTCCCTGCTTTTAAAATAATAAAGCCTACAACAAAGTTTCTACATGAACTATTTGTCGTAGGATACCAGTTCTTTATCTACAATGTAATAAACTCCAAATGCTGTGACATTCTCCGTATTAGTCCTTTATGTTGAACACGAACCTTAATTAACATTGACTGCCCATCTATAAACCCCTGATCATCGCAGAACTTGGCGGGAAGGACATTTTAATCCCGGAAAACTAATGGTAGACTTCGAATCATTATTTTATCTACTTTTACAGACCAAAACCGAACAGAGAGATATAGAGAAGCTGAATAATTGTGATAACCGCATCGGTAGATACGCTGCTGGACTATCATCGCGGTCAATGGGAGATACAAAAATTCCATTCATCAAAGAGATTTACCATTACCTCAATGGTAGAGAATTAATTTACAGCAACATAGACCGTGTTGGACTTCGGATCATAAAGGAAGTGACTACTTGCGCTACGTCAGAAAGACAAATTGCTAGAACATTGGTTTAAGATGAAATTTCCTTCAACAATATTAGATCAATTTTCCCTACGATTCCATAACACCTCTGACATGACTAATCAAGCGGATGTCGCAACACTGTTATTTTATCACCATTAATGTTTCTATCTGCTCAAATAATGAAAGAATAAAGATTTTTTTCAAGCATTAACCTATTTCTTGTTTGTTACAAAACCGATGCGAATGAACCGAATTTAACGATGTTCATCAACCGCATTTCCGACAGGGGTTTAGCCTGTAGAGGGGATATATTTTAATTAGTCGACAGAAATTATACTTAAAAATGATTTACATAAAACTTTCTACAGGCCTTTTTTCCCTCCTTAGTCGAACACGTCTGTCGCCTAATTCTATTGTAGTTCTACTCAAGTGCTGTAAGATAACGCACTAACTGTTGTAATTTGTCACGTGCTTCAACTTTTCTCCGTCACTGTATCCAATTTAGCATAACCACATTTTCAAAGTTATCAAATTTCCGATTTTATGTATCGTTTTTATTTGGTATTCGTAGGATCAAAGGCTAGATAAGATGCGTGCCTGATAACTCGTTTATTCGAACTTTTACACAGTGAACGCATTACTTCATACAGTATACACAGATTATCTTACAGGCTAAAGTACTTAAGTATATAACTTTTTTTTACCTATTTGCAGGTCAGTTGATGGTGTTGGAAAAAAGATAAGTCTAATTCAGTAGCTATGGGATAGATAGACATTTTCAAATTTGTCAATACTCATAACTGCTGAAAGATAGCCTCTAAAAACGGAGAAAATTATTCAACATCGAACTGGATTCTAAATTCCGAGGGGAAAAAACTTCCACACTTTTGGGATTAACTTTATTTCCTACGATTCTGAAATAAATATTTTATTACTTAAATATATTTTAGACTATTTTAATGCAAAATTTGCGGATGGAAAAAGAGCGATTTACTTGAACTCATAATTCTTCTTGCCCAACACGTAAATAACTAGGTGAAAAAAAAAAATATTGAATATATTTAGTAGTGACATTACATGTGTATAAATGAAGACTTCTACGGTTTAATTTCTCGCCGATTCGTCAATCGTATTTTAAATGAACAGCGAATGCATTCAATTTGCTTTTAATCATTGTACTGCGATATTTTCATTCTTCACTTTTGTTGTAGAATGAACAGGACAAAAAATTTAATTTTCCTAAATAGTAAATATTGCAAACTGCGTAAGTTAAGATGTGGTTCCAACATAAATATTCGCATTATATTGCATGTTTATGTAACTCCATGAATTATGATGACACGAAATCCTGCAATGAAGTTACGTAAATTCACCGTCTATTTATCTGTGTACTTGTCTAAACGTTGTTATAAAATTTCTTTTAAGGTCTACCGTTCCAGACAGAAGACCTTATAGTGATTGTACTGTTTATTCTATTTTCCCCCTTTTCTTCTCGGCAGGATTTCTCAGAGATTGCTGAACAGATTTTCATGAAATTTTCAGGGACGATAGAGAATGAAAATACCGAGAGAGGTTTTTTTTTCATTTTTTTTTCCAAAATTCACTTTCGGTCGTCAGATATGTCCAATTTCCTTTTTTCAAAAATATTTTGTCCGAGTCATATCTCAGAAACGGTAAAAGATTAAGACACAGACTTTTATGAGTAATAGGTCTTGAGGAGTAGGCGAAACCGTTTGGGTTAAGAGCGTCAACCGTCACTTCCGATCGTCACAGGAAGTGATCACAGATATCGAGAATTTCAACTTTTCTTATTTTGAATTAAATTTTGCCACACGTTATTGCGTCAACTTAGTACTTTCGAAATACGTGGTCCCATCGGAATCAAAAACATCAACTTCCGGTTTTAAGAAGAAAACTACACAATTTGAGTATTAAACTTTCCCATAAATATCGCTTAAAGATAAAGTATTTGAAATAATTTTTTCATATGTTATTAAGACTAAAGATATCTAGAGTAACTTCGAATATCTTTGTAAAATTCACTTCCGGTCGCGTGTTTTCCTGTCCTCAAAATGAGAAGTTGTATGAGCGAATTCTAGGAAATGGTAAGAGATTAAGACACTAAACTTATACGAATAATAGCGAGCTCATTAGACTAACGTGTAAGAACAGAGTAAATTCAGAATGACATAAACGTCAGGTAAATTTTGGTATGAAACCTTTCCAAAATTCCCCCACTACCAGGATTCCATGCGATAATGGCGAATATTAAAATTATATAAAATATAAAAGGCCTGCAGTTTGCAGAGAGCTTAAAAGAAACAAAAAAATAATTACAGCTATTCTACAATGTATTTCGCTAAATATTGCACTATGCCTGTAGTCTCAATCAACTAGACGCTCGGCTGTCTCCGTAAATTCCGACGTCATGTGACGTCACAGTCTAGACTGTGTCTCTTGCGGTTTGAAGAGGCGGATCAAAGTTACAAGTGAAAGGTGTGTAACGGTTTTTGATGGAACTTACGGCTACACCGTAAAACAAATTAGACACATTCTACCTGATCAATACATAGGGCTCACGGCGGGTGTGACCGCCAACAGGGGAGGCTTACTTCTCCTAGGCACCTGATCCCACCTCTGGAATTTCCAGAGGTCCGTGTTTTATGCCCTCTTCACATATTTGTATTGTTTGTAGATTTTTTGAGATCGATCACTGATCGTTATCTTAACCTTTTACCTTGAGAAGAAGGCGAAACCATATGGGTTAAACGCGTCAGTCGTCACTTTCGGTCGTCACAGGAAACGATCAAGAAATCAAAAATTTTACTTTTCTTTTTTGAATTAAAACTTGCATCACTTTATTGCATCTCTTTCGCTGTCTTGAAACATGTTAGATTCCATCGCAAACAAAAACGTTAACTTCCGGTTTTAAGAGATAAACTACGTTATTTCTATGTTTAACTTTCTTATAAATATCGCTTATAGGTAAAGTATTTGAAATGTTTTTATACATGTTGTAAATACTGCAAATGTCTAGAGAAACGTCAGATTTTTTTTTTAACACTTCCGGCCGCGTGTTTTCCTGTCCTCAAAAATTAGAATTTGTTCTCGCAATTGCTCGGCAACAGTAAACGACTGAAATCTAAAACTTCCAGGACTGATAGTCAGTGATCAGTTTATTGTATCGTGTGAAAATTGTGTGTCGCCGTTACTTCCGGTCGTGCAGGAAGTGATGCAAAAAAAAATGAATTTTTCATTTTTTTTCTACAGAATTTTTAGGCTAATACCAACTTTAGAAAGCACATGTCCATGCAAACTTTTTTCGCTGAAAGTGACGGCCGAAAAAACGTAAGTTGTCTCAAACATGAGTATTTTATAATGGAAACTTGTAGGGATTATCAGTTGTGACTTTAGGGGTAGAATGACGTTTTTATTCGTTTGGACCACTTCCGGTCATGACAGTAGTAAATAAAGAAAACAGGAAAGTTAATTCAGAAATATAGATATTTAATTTTTCAACTTTATTCACATATCTTTGGAAGGTTACAGATGACCTCTATTAATCATTTAACGTTATCTAATTTATAAGATTGTTTTTAGAAGGAGTCAAGAAGTCAACTTGGTATAGTAATCTACTGAATGTTCTGTTCATTTCCTTTCAGTTACAAATCTTAGCATGTGTAGTCAATATGTTATCCTGACTTCTTGTCCATCATCTTTTTGTTCAATTAGTTCAATATCTTAGGTTATCTGGATCATTTTTTTCAAATTAATCTACGTAAGAATAATTTTCAATAGAAGACTAACACCCTGTAGAATTTTTTCAATACCAAGTGTAACTCTTACCTTTGTTAAATCGAAAGGAGTTAGGCCCTCTTTATTTTTAGCTAATGGGTACGCTCCCTCCGCCAACAGCTTCGTTACCACCGCTTCATACCCGGTCTTGACAGCAATGTGTAGAGGGGTATTGCCAATGGAGTTTGATATATTTACTTTAGCCTGATACTGAAAACACAAGTTAAGGTTTAAAACGTGAACAGATACCTATGTATAGTCTCTCTCTCTCTCTCTCTCTCTCTGGTGAACTACAAAGCATTCATTTACCTAATATTCTTCAACAAAATAATTTTAGCTGACTTTTTTGTTTCACATTCCCCATCTAATAAAGTAAAAAAATCTGGTAACCGAAATCTAATTTTCCTAGTTAAAAATAATTAATAAATAGCACGGCATATCTAAGGCATCTCTCCATTAAAGTTCGGGGAACTAGATTTTTAAACAGAGCTCAATTTTTCATCGCTTAATAAAACCTGTAGCTGGAAGATATCAATTGAATGAGTAAAATGACCAGAGACATGTAGTTTTTAAAGAATGAGGCATTATTAAACGGTGTGTTCACTTTTTGTAATTTTTTTTCTGGTTTGATTCTCAAATCTGTGCAAAATGGGAGCAAGGCTATCAAACACAAAGTGCTCAGCTTCGCATACCGTAAAATATGCCAGTCTTATTCTCTTATGCCATCTTATGGAACCATAAAAAAAAAAGATCTAGAGCACTATCAGTTTTAATTAGTTCAGCATGTAAATTACAATATACCTTTCAAGTTTGTGGTGGTAACCACTCACAAATATTTACGTAAATACAATAATCTTATGCGTATGTCATGTTGTAAATTTTGAATTTACCGCGTGGCAGTAAACATACAGTTGTCATGTTGTAAATTTTATATTTACTGCCACCTGGTAAATTCAAAATTTACAATATGACACATATATTTTTTGAATAAGCAACCACTTGTTAATGCTTGATAGATTATACACAAAAAATTGTAAAGGATGAAGATAAGTTTTAATAAATATTCTTCTATCTGGATCTGCCCATGTTGTGGTATTTACAATTACTGGTATAAGGTTATTATACCAAATATGTCACTATTCTATAAGCTACACAAGAACTTGAGGACAAATTACCATGACTTCTGTATAAGAGAATTAAAATAATGTTACTGACTTGTAAAAAATCACCCAAGTGCAACCTTAATTTCACAATAGCATCACTTGCAGACAAAAATGTAAATCATTCTTAATGTAAATTTCTTTTATGAATTTTGCTCTATGTTGCTGAACGACTTCTACTAACCAAAGGCAAACAGGTCATCCAAAAATTGGACAAATTTAGTACAGATAAAATATTTGAAATTCAAATCAAGAACCTCTAGGAAAGATAATAAAATCTACATTCTGAGTAATCATACACTAACTTGCTTTACATTCATAAAGACAAACCCAAACCGCAATATATCTGAAAATTAGTCATAGTACATAAATCTTTGTTTATACTGAACTACTATGTCTATGTCATTGATATTAACAGGGTCATTTCAATTGTTCCTCACAGAATGAGGCAAAATACTGTATTACAACAAATCTGATCAAGGTAAATTATATTTAATTGACATCTGAAATGAGCCCAAATGCATCATGACTTTTAACTTTTATTTACAGGCAAACAGAGAGATTTTTCAAGATACCATAGGTACGAGGGTTAATGCAAAAGTAATACCACAACTACTACAAAATCTGTGTAATCGAATGTTATCAACAAAATTTCACACACTGATGCCCCTAGCTGTTTTGATTTTTGCCTAAAGTTTCATTCAATTATATAAAAAAAAAATTTAAACTATCAAGATAAACACAACGTTAGGTTTTGTCTATCGCCGCACGGCAAGAATGTTACCGACGTCCGCGTCGTTATGACGTTACTTTTTGGCACTCGTTTTCAATTTATTCGCAGATCTTTTTTAATCTTTCACATGCTTCTTTTTTAATAAGCTTTACTCCCATTTTGCTATAAAGCGCCTTGTTTTGAGTTGTAATTTTAAAATTATTTGAACTATGTCCAATGTTATTTCTAAATTTAATCCTTTTGCGTAGATCTTATGTATCGTCAGATACAAGAGTAAGTGATGTTAAAGGTTGTCCGATCGTCCAGAGCTACCTCAGTTGAAATGTTCATAGGTTTGATAACCTGACTTTATGCCAGACTTGACGATCGAAAAATTTAATACTAATAAGAAAAATAATTAACATTATAAAGATACACAATTCCAAGGTAAATGTCTATATTATAATATTTTAAAAAGTATTGCATTTATCTGAATGAAATTTCTAGACAAAAGACAAAAGTCAAAATAATTAGACGTTTTTATATACGTTTTTATTATGCATAAAATGTTGTCGATAACTTTCGATTATTAAAGATTTTATATCAGTTGTTTCATTACTTTCGGATCAACCTTCGTAACTCACATTACAGAACAGGCTAAAAGAACATGACACATATGCCTTGATGTTCATTAATGACAAGTGGCCCACCTCTTGGATCTAAATCCCAAATACAGCAAATTTGAATTTTTAAAGTTCATCATAACCATGCAATGAAGCTGTTTGCTAGATCGGGCATGAATTGTACAGCTCATTACAGTCATGTAAAAATCTCTCTGCTAGATGTCCGTGAGTAAAGAACAAGATTTTAATCCATAGGACATGAATGCCCCGCCCAAGGTATATTAGTAATACGACATGAAAATTTGTATTAGTGTATGAAGTTTGATGAGAATATCTTAAATAGTGTCTATAAAATTGAAATCTAAAAAAATTGATATAGATGATAAATTCTCACCAATTTGTGCATCAGTGCATAAGCTTACATAAAAATATATAATATAAATGTATTCTTTAAAATTGAGAAAAATGCAAATTTAAGAAAAGTGAGGTCAAGGTCACGGGAAAGTTCAAGGTCAAAAGTTTTTGATGCAGTTGAATAGCTCTCAATAATATACATCAGTATATTAAGTTTGATGAAAATATCTTGAATGGTTTCTTTATAAAATTTATTAAACTTAGCTCAACATTAATTCAAGGTGAAAGGAAAGGTCAAGGTCCAAAAATGTTGATGCTGTTGAATAGCTCTCATCAAAATGTGTAAGTATATAAGGTTTGATAAGAAGATCTTGAATAGTTTCTTTGAAACTGAGCTAAACACTAATTTAAAAAAAGTGAGATCAAGGTCAAAGGAAAAGGCAAGGTCAAAAAATGTTAATGCAATTGAATAGCCTACATCAGTATGTATCAGCATATGAAGTTTGATTACACTATCATGAATGTTTTACTGTCCCCGGCTTTCATGAAATCGAGGGGACATTAAATCTCATTCGTCTGTCAGTCTGTCTATTAATCTGTCACAAAAACTTTAACATTGGTTATAACTTTTGAATGAAATAGGGATTTCTTATTTCACATGTACATTACCTGTGACAAGACCTTTCCAAATATACTATGATTTTTGAACCTGTGACCTTAACCTTGAAGTTTGACCTACTTTTCAAAAATTTAACATTACTTTAAATTGGTCATAACTTTTTAATGAGAAAAGATAGGGATTTCATATTACAAAAGAATATTACGTGTGACAAGACCTTTATAAATATACTACAATTTTGACCCCGTGACCTTAACCTTGAAGTTTGACCTACTTTTCAACAAGAGGCCCAAGGGCCTTGAATCGCTCTTCTGATAAACTGTACAACCTATCATTTCTATTTGAAGCCTCTAAGTATCCTGTATATTTAGATAAACCCTTGAAATTCCAATTCACACTCTGAGAACCCAAGATGATTCTAAGCCAATTAGTACCTGAGAGTTGGTCATGGTGACCTACTTATCACTTGTCATTCTCTGAGGACCCATCAACTAAGTTTGATGATTCTAAGCCAATCAATACCTAAAATATTTTTTAAAATTATAACCATAAAATTTTATAAGTAGGTCAAGGTGACCTACTTTTCAGTTGTTGTACTCCGAGGACCCAAGATACATCGACTGACAAAGTCTGATGATTCTAAGCCAATTAGTACCCAAATATTTAATTAAAGCCATAAATTTTCAAAAGTAGGTCACGGTGACCTACTTTTCAGTCAACCTACTCCAAGGACCCAAGATGCATCAACTGACAAAGTTTGATGATTCTAAGTCAATTAGTACCCGAAATATTTAATTAAAGCAATAAATTTTCAAAAGTAGGTCACCGTGACCTACTTTTTAGTCGACCTACTCCGAAGACCCAAGATGCATCAACTGACAAAGTTTGATGATTCTAAGCCAATTAGTACCTGAAATATCTAATTATAGTCATATAAATTGAAAAGTAGGTCATGGTGACCTACTTTTCAGTTGACCTTTTTTTAGGACGCAAGATGCATCAACTTACAAAGTTTTATGATCATAGGCCTTAAAATGTCCAAATTATGCCTCTAAAACACTTTGAAATCGAATGCCTGCAAAGTTCAAAAAGTAGGTCACTGTGACCTACTTTTTAATAAAAATGTTTTATGGCCCCAGGATGCATCAACTTACAAGATTTAATGATTCTAAACCTCTTGGTATTTGAATTAATGACCTTAATTGTTTTGAAAAAGATTAGCCATAAAGTTCAAAAAGTAGGTCAAGGTGACCTACTTTTTAGTTGATGTACTTCGAGGACCCAAGATACATCAACTGACAAAGTTTGATGATCATAGGCCTTAAATTGTTCAAAATATGCCTCTAAATCATTTTGAAAAAGAATGGCCGCAAAATTTAAAAAGTAGGTCACCGTGAACTACTTTTGAGTCAACATGAAATGAGATCCTTAGATGCATCAACTGACAAGATTTGATGATCCTAGTCCTTATAGTAAGCAAAATATCAACATTTTAATAAAATGTCATTTTTGGTCAACTTTGAAGTGACCTTGAGACCACACCCTTTGCCCCAGGGTGATGCCTTGAACAATTTTCAATCTACAACATATCCTCATCCTTTTGTGTAAGTTTGGTGATAATCTGCCCAGTGGTTCTTGAGAAGAACATTTTTTAGCAACCAGTACTTTTGTTTCTATTTTCCTAATTATCTCCCCTTGTTTAAGGGTCACAACCCTAGTTTTAGTACAAACAGGAGCCCTTGGGCCAAGGATACCCTGTAACAAATTTGACAATAATTGGCCAAGGGGTTCTTGAGTTATGGCCCATAATCTAAAAAGTTTACGCACACTGCACAAATGGCCATAGCATTACCTCTTTGAGCCATTGGCTCAGAAGAGCTAACAAGAGGCCCATGGGCCACATCGCTCACCTGAGCACATTGGCAAGGCAAAAGCACAAATCAGTTCAGTATTGAAAAGATTGGCGGGGGGGGGGGGGGGGGGCTTGAATTTTAAACTACCTGATGATGCTTCCATGTCAATATATAATTTGTTTTAACAAATGGCTTTGTTGTACTTGAGAAGATTTTTTAAAAAAAATTCCCATATATTTCTCTGTAAAAATTTGATCCTCCATTGTGGCCCCGCCCTACCCCGGGGGGTCATGATTTGAACAAACTTGAATCTACACTACCTGAGGATGCTTTCATATAAATATGATCAATTAGGGCTTTGCTGTTATTGAGAAGAAGATTTTTAAAGATTTTTCCTATATATTTCTATGTAAAACTTTGATCCTCCATTGTGGCCCCACCCTACCCCCAGGGGTCATGATTTGGACAAATTTGAATCTACACTACCTGAGGATGCTGCAATATAAATATGACCAATTAGGGCTTTACTGTTATTGAGAAGAAGATTTTTAAAGGTTTTTCCTATATATTTCTATGTAAAACTTTGATCCTCCATTGTGGCCCCGCCCTATCCCCAGGGGTCATGATTTGAACAAACTTGAATCTACACTACCTGAGGATACTTCCACATAAATATGACTCATCATGGCTTTGCTGTTCTTGAGAAGAAGATTTTTAAAGGTTTTTCCTATATATTTCTATGTAAAACTTTGATCCTCCATTGTGGCCCCGCCCTACCCCCGGGGGTCATGATTTGAACAAACTTGAATCTACACTACATGAGGATACTTCCACATAAATATGATCAATCAGGGCTTTGCTGTTCCTGAGAAGAAGATTTTTAAAGGTTTTTCCTATATATTTCTATGTAAAACTTTGATCCTCCATTGTGGCCCCACCCTACCCCCAGGGGTCATGATTTGAACAAACTTGAATCTACACTACCTGAGGATGCTTTCATATAAATATGACCAATTAGAGCTTTACTGTTATTGAGAAGAAGATTTTTAAAGGTTTTTTCCTATATATTTCTATATAAAAATTTGATCCTCCACTGTGGCCCCGCCCTACCCCCGGGGGTCATGACATGAACAAACTTGAATCTACACTACCTGAGGATGCTTCCACATGAGTTTAATCTTCCCTGGCTTTGTGGTTCTTGAGAAGAAGATTTTTAAAAGATGCTACTAATTTTTCACTAATTCTTCATTATCTCCCCTTGAAAGAGGGCGTGGCCCTTCATTTGAACAAACTTGAATCCCCTTCACCCAAGGATACTTTGTGGCAAGTTTGGTTAAAATTGGCCCAGTGGTTCTTGAGAAGAAGTCGAAAATGTGAAAAGTTTACAGACGGACGGACGGACAGACAGACAGACAGACAGACGGACAGACGGACTACAGACAAAATGTGATCAGAAAAGCTCACTTGAGCCTTCGGCTCAGGTGAGCTAAAAATGTTATCTTTGCTTATAACTTTTGATTGTGAAGAGATAGGACTTTCATATTTGACATGTGCATTACCTGTGATGCCTTTTTAAATATACTGAAACTATGATTTTTGACCCCTTGACCTTGAAGTTTGTCCTACTTTTCAAAAATTTTAACATTACTTTGAATATTCATAAAATTTGAATGAGAAAAGATAGGGCTTTCATATGACATATGTATATTACCTGTAAAAAGATCTTTTGAAATACACTATGGTTGTTACCCCATGACCTTGACCTTAAAGTTTGACTTACTTTTCAAAAATTTTATCTTTGCTTATACAGGTGCATTACCTGTGACAAGACGTTTCTGAGCATGCTAAGATTTTTGACCCCTTGACCTTCATGTTTGACCTAAATTTCAAAAATTTTAACTTTAGTGATTACTTTTAAATGACATATGATAAGGGCGTTCATAATTTGACTAGTGCATAACTTGTGTCAAAATGTTTCTGAATGTACTGTAATATTTGACCATGTGACCTTGACTTTCAATTTTGACCAAATTTTCAAATATTTTATCAGTGTAGCTAACTTTTGAAGGAGCGAATAGGGCATTCATATTTGTCACATGCATTACCTGGGACAAGCATTTCCAAATATACTGATTTTTAACCCCATGACCTTAGAGTTTGACCTAATTTTCAAAACTTTTAACATTGCTGCTAACTTTTGAATGAGAGAAGACATGGCATTCACATTTGACATGTGCATTACCTGTTTCAAGACCTTTCTGATTGTATACTCTGGTTCTTGATATTATTTTTCACATGTACATTTTTGTGACAAGACTTTCGAGTTGCATTATATTTGACTTCATGACCTTGATCTTGAAGTTTGTTGTAGTTTTGAGAAGCTATAATCTTTGCCATACCTGTTATTATTTCATAATTTATGTCTTTTTGTATGATGCATAGACAATACAGGACACACAAACAAGACAGTTACAATATGCCATAAATAATGGCATCCCATCCACTAAGACACTGAAAGAGGGGGACAACAATTCTTTAAATTTGCTTGTTAAAAACTTGAGCTTAACACTAATTTAAGAAAAAAGAGGTCAAGGTTAAAGAAAAAGTCAAGGTCAAAAAATGTTGATACAAGTTTTTCGTGAATTATGATTTGAGGAAATTGAAAAAGATATGTAAAGCAAATTAATACAAAGAGAATCATATTAAGAGTGGTATATATACTTTTTCCTTACTGTAAATTTGGAAATTTAGGGATGGGGTAATTTATGCTAAATACTTGATAAGAAAGCTTTCAATTGCATAAATATTCCCCCTTGTACAATGTCTTTAAACATATTTTATTCAGTTTTAAAAATACATTATCCTGTCATCATGGAAATAACTCCAGTAATAATGTCCTTGCTTCTTATTAACGTAATTAACAACACGCATAAGTATTAGGTACAGCTATCAGTCACCAGGTACTTTTACTTTCTTTTATATATATTTAAATTGTGAATCAGAGTCACCGTCATTTAACGACGTTGGATCCTGATATTTAAAGTCTTAAACTTTTTTTGTCAAGTATATTTTTAGCTTGTACACACATAGCTTAATTAAAAATCAAAACAAAAAATGGGGGTCAATATGCTTCTTTTGGCGCTACAGTACATTTAAAATGACCTTTTTGCACTGAATTTGTATCTTAATCAAAAATAACATCTTCGACGTTTTTCCCTCCAATATTTTTTATCCAAATAAATCATGGGACAAAGTATGCTATTATTCTCTCTTAAAAAAGACACATTAAAATTGTGACAAAGAAAAATTTTCAAATTGCTTCGCATAATCAATTATTTGACCTTTCTGCACTCACAAAATGTCATTTTTCGGGCATTAAAAATTTAACAAGCAAGAAAAATATTTTAAAGTCTTAAACTTTTGCTGAATTTAAGTAGATTGATCAGAGTTATCTTATATATTCAGAAAAGAAAATCAAAAGTGGAGGTCTATGATGTTATTTTTTAGATATTACTAAAAAACTGTTAATTTTGTGATAAAATTGGCTCAATTTTTTCCTGGAGTTTCAGAATATATTTTCTATATTTGTCACAATATGATGATAGAATTCACAAAAACTGATTTAATTAATATTTTAGAACCAGCATTAAACATTTCAATGCACAAAATAGCTCTGTGTGCAACCAGCATGGAAAAATAGGAATCTAAACTTAACAGTACTGTATATATTTCAAAAGGGAAAAAATGATCATTTTCTTCTAAAAAATCTTCCGCCACAAAATATAGTTCCTGACTTAATCCTATTTGAATGGAATTTAATCGCGTTTTTTTCTTTGGATATAGTATAATTTGCATTGTAGAATCCAGATTTAAAGTTAGAACTTAAAAATAATGCAGAATTTTAGAAATAAAGCTCCAGACCAAAATCTGCTCAAAAGCTCAGGATCGAACATCCTTAATATTACATGTACTTACTTTTTACATATTTTAGCCTAATTCACAATTTAGAAAATGAATTAATTACCCATATGCCTAACTGCATAAAATGATATGGAAATTTAATGACAGATTGTACATACTTAGTCAAATACCTAAAAATACCTGATTGATAAACAAATCCCAATAAGACAGCATTTTATATTTGTCTCCAAGCACACAAAGTTCTGTATTGATAAATGTTACCTTGGATTACTTAATATAGATTCTTGTTTCAAACAAACTTAGCTTTTAGCATAAAAATGGCCATAATGAAGGAAATAGTTCATTGTCAGATCTAAACAAATCAAAGTTTATCTTATATAACCAACCTGTGACAATTAAGTGGATAGCATAAATATAATAACAAAATCTAAAGTTAAATAACTGTATGACTTTGATATGCTCTGACATTTGCAATACTTTTAATCATTGGCATGTTTATATTTTCCTTACAGGTGAATCAATGATATTCTCGTTTGGTTTTGCGTTTTTTGTTTTTGTTTTTAAAATAGATTCCTAGGAGACAAATTCCAGAACAACTGCATATGTATCCAATGACAAAGTTTGAAGCACACAAATAAAAGAATGGAATCCTTGAAAGAACAAGTCAGCATAATGTCAAAAGTGAAAATTGTCAGCTAATTACCAATTAAATAGAAAATTAATAATAAAAAAAATTCATATATTCACCATTAATAGACAGTCTACTGTATCCTTACAACTCTTGTAACAGGCCAGATGTAGAGGGGTGTCACCGTAATTGTCTCTGGCATTGACCTTGGCATTGTGCTTCAGGAGGTGAAGGACAATCTAATAAAGATATATGATAAAACTGATAATACCACAGAACATCTTCTTTTTAAAGAGGTAATAAATAATTTCTTTTAATGATATGCATTAAATTTATGTCACATAAAGTTGTCGCAAGTGGGAGAATTTAAAACAGGGTGAATTCAAACAAGACAGCATTATTTCTTAAACACAACCGTTTCTGGGCAAATTTAAAATAGGACAAAATTGTTTTCAAAGTTAATGGTGAACAGTAATCACAAAGTTGTCTTACAATGGATTCAAACTTAATTTGAGACCTGCAAATATATATATAGGTGCTCATTTCTTTAGACCCATGAGCCTTGTCATAAAAATTTTTAAAACACTTAATGTATTATGCAGATTTGCATGCAAGAGCATTCCTTCACAATGCTTCTAGATCCATTTGTGTATTTACTGTATATATCTTTGATGCCATAACTATTGTGCCTTATCGTTCTTCTATTTTAAAAATTGAAAAAACCCACTGATATTATGCAATACATGTATCTTCTTATTGAAGAACAACCACCCAGTAAAAATGGCATTCTTATACAGAATTTGGGTTAGAATCATGCAAACATATTTTTTCAAGTCGGGAATTGGAGCATCAATTGGCACTACTGTTTGTTCCTGAATTTTGAAGCTAGACCAATCGTGTCATTGAAAGTTTTACTTTAAACAAACACAAACCTGAGTACTTTTATTAATGGCAGCCAAGTGTAGTGGAGTTATCCCTTTCTTAGTATGAACATTGACTTGAGCACCTTTGTTGATGAACAGTTTGACAAGGTCAAGATTTTGAGCTTGGCAGGCTTTATGAAGAGGTCTGAACAATTTCTCATCTGTTATGTTCACATTTAAAGCATTTTCTGATGGAGCAGAACCCTAAAAAGAGAGGCAAATTATTAGAAATACATGTACTATAAAGTGTGACTTATATCATGTATAGCTGCAATTCTTATGATTGTGCTGTCAGATATACATCATCAAAGAAAAAAGAAAGGGGTTTTTGAAAAAAAAAAGTTTCACAGAATTTTTTCCTAATTTTTGTCCAAATGTTTCACTTAACAAAGTGTTTGAAAATAAATCATCAATTTATTTAAATTACAGTCAAACCTCGTTATCTCGAACTTGATGGGACCATGAAAAAACTTCAAGATACCAAGGATTTGAGATATTGAGGGTAAAATACTTAAAGAATATGTGGTTGGGACTTCCAAATCACTTCGACATATCCAAGGTATTTGAGATATCAGTGTTTGAGATACCGAAGTTCAACTGTATTAACAAATATTTTTTTCTATCATACACAATTGTGCTTGCTCTAATTTCCATAAAAGTGAACATGACATTTGAAGTCTTCACATACATGTATGTCTTGTATGAATAATAATTATGTCAGAAATTTTTTTTTTAAAGATACATGTATTTTCTCTTGATGAATATTTTTCACCAAATAAATAATGAACAACTATTTGTTTCAATTACAGTGACCTGATTTGCAGATATTAGCCCTGACCTGTTGGAGAGCTGAGCACTTTGGACATTGACAGAGTGGATGACACAGCTCACTACTGGGGGAGGGAGAAAGGGAACCAGTCTCTGGGGCAGAGTTATCCCACTTCATATAAAACATGACCTGGAAGAAATATAACTACAGGGCATACTGTTAAGTACAGTGTATAAAATATTCCTCCAATATTACTGATATGCTGTAGCAGCTAGTATACTTGCAAACTAAATGTTAATATCTTACAGAATGATATGAATTCAAAGGAAATATCAATTCTTTTCAGATTAAATACCATATAGCGGGTTTCTTTAGCGGTTGTAAAATTTGGCGTTTTGCTTGCTCAAAGGTATGCCGATAATTTTGGCAGAACTTTTTTTGGTGGACAAAGAGTTCCATGACTTTGCAAAAAAGAGGAAATTTGACTTTAAGATGAGTTTCAGTACTTTAAATATACGTTTGAATACCAATTTACACAAGAGTTTTAGCAAATACAAATACCAGTTGAAAGATATAAAGTTTAACAACAGACTGATCAAAGTTATTTAAGTATATATAAGTTTTCTTATATTCAGTACTTATAAGCAAGAGTGTAAATTTCGCGATTAAAATTTTAGCAGTCTACTACAAAGCCGCTAAAATAAGCCAAAAATAGCATCCCACTAAAAATTCCTATTATACGGTAATATATGAAGCAAAAACAAAGACAATAAATACCAGTGGGACATCTCCATTTTCTATGGCTCTGAAAAGCAAATTAATTCTATGGTTCTTGGCCTGGTCAAGGGAGGCCACTTCAGGTGTAAACAGTTTTGGGGGTGAGGACGGAGACTCTGGAGGGTGGTGTACCAGGTCCCTGTGGGGCTTGATCACTTTTACAACCTCATAATCTACCAGGGACTGAAAAATAAATTTCATATACAAATAATGTACAGCAAAACTATATAAACATGTATAATGATACATTCAGTGTTTGTTTTCACAGCAGACACATCAAAAGAATTTTGAAATACGGCTAGAGGTACAACAATGTCTACTCTATAAATATGACTCATGTTTCAATTGATTTCTTTTAAAAAGGAAAAAAAATATTTATGGACCATAATTAAAAATAAACGATATAGATGTAAATACATTTGTAAATGGGTTGTCCAATCAGTCAAAATCTAGTACCTGGTTAACCTAACCTTTTTCTGATCAAATATCTGGCTACTCTTTATTTTATACCCCCTGAACACATGTAAACTGAATATACATTTAACACTCTTACTGCAGTCTTCACATGAACTAAGGAATACATTTTTTTTATCCCAAAACATAGGTAATCAAAGATTACAAAGCTCACCTCGACGAATGTTATCTTTTAAGTAAGGCAAATTTCACATCATATTTTTTTTTTTAGTGTACATCCCAAGATCAATGTCCATGCAAGTTTGGTTTAAGTAAGACTTATAGTTACTCGGAAATAGACCTATTCAAAGAAAGTTTATCCTGTTTACTATTCAAGAAAATTTTGGTCAGTTACAACATCCAAAGTAAGTCGGGAAGTTTTCATCCTTAGATGCACCATCTATGCAAGTTTTATCATAACAGGCCATAATGTTATATAGCTACTCCAAAAAAAATTATCCTCGTCACTCATCTGGAAAATGTAGGTCAGATTCAGAATCCAAAGCAAGTCTGGAAGTGACCATGCCTAGCTACATCATCCATGGTATTTGGTTAAAATATGGCTAAAATTCACTCATGTGGAAAATCTAGGTCGAATCCAGCATCCGAAGCAAGTGTGGTAGTGTCCATCCCTAGATGCATCATCCATGCAGGTTTGGTCCAGGTAGAGCTTATAGTTACTTGGGAATGGACCTGCTCCAAAAACTTTAACCTGGTCACTCATCTGGAAAATCTACATCAGATCCAGCATCCTAAGCAAGTGTGGTAGTGTCCATCCCTAGATGCATCATCCATGCAAGTTTGGTCCAGGTAGGGCCAATAGTTACTTGGGTATGGACCTACTCGAAAAACTTTAACCTGGTCACTCATCTGGAAAATCCAAGTCAGATCGAGCATCCGAAGCAAGTGTGGTAGTGCCCATCCCTAGATGTATCATTCATGCAAGTTTGGTCCAGGTAGGGCTTATAGTTACTTGGGAATGGACCTGCCCCAAAAACTTTAACCTGGTCACTCATCTGGAAAGTCTAGGTCAAATCCAGCATCCGAAGCAAGTGTGGTAGTGTCCATCCCTAGATGCATCATCCATGCAAGTTTGGTCCAGGTAGGGCCAATAGTTACTTGGGAATGGACTTGCTCCTAAAACTTTAACCGGGACGCTGACGCTAATGCCGATGCCGACACCGACGCCAGGGGTATACCATAAGCTCATCTTGACTTCGTCAAGGTGAGCTAAAAATAGTAAATTGGACCAAGCGACTTTTACTACCATTTTCTTTTTCTTGAAAAAGAGTAGTGGTGTTGGTATTTGATGAACTGACCTTTCAAAGAGTACCCAGTTATTCCGGTACTTGTTGACAACCCTTTACATAAATTATATCTGTACATTTATTTTTCATTATGTATCTAGCTGAGACTGATTAACACATATCGAAGATGCTACACATTTCCCCTATAGTTACATATAAGGTCTGACCTCAGATTTTTGTCTTTCTATCAGCACTGTGGGTGTTGAGTCGTACTCCTGAAATATCCTCTGTATGTGGACATTATGGGCTATATTGTATGGAGTCTGTTTCTTTCTGTTTTTAATGTCTGTCCTGGCTTTACTGTCCAACAGTATTTGGATGATAGATTCTGTAAATCACAAATAAATCTCTCATGATAATCATGTTTTTTAAAAGAGATTCTCAGTACTAAAAGTGAGTTAACAAAACTGCAGCAAAGCAGTAAGAAAAAGACATTGTAAAAAAAATCAATAAGGTGCAATAGGGATTGTCTCAATGATAATAATTTTATCTCAATGATATTAATTTCCTATCAATGATATTTAACTTCATCTCTGTGATAGAGAGTATAATCATGTACATTACATATGTAATTCTACTAGTGCTAGTGCAAAGGTCAAAGAAATGTAAAGTGGCCACTATTCTCCAATAAATCAAATGTCATCAACAAATTATCAGTAAAGAACCGTTTTCCTCAATTGTGATGCACATTGGTGGGAATAATGTTTACTTTGGATTAAGATTACATCACACTTTTTTAATGTGTGAAGTGCAAATGAACAAGGCGTATCATTTAATAGTGATGTCATAAGACACTTCTGTTGGTGTTGAAATCCAGCTTCTCTGTTTCTTGATCTATATAGGAGTTCAAAAATTCTCTTGTCATCTGAATTGTTGAAGAATATACCCCTCAGTCTGGAGATTTTGTTGGAAAATTAAAATCTTGCCATTCGATCAAGCTCAGTTTTTATCTTTTAACGAAATCTCTCAACCGTTAGGGTATAATCACCACCAATTCCTCTGGCGCGGGAATTATTTCTTAATTTTACCAAGTGTTACGTTATATTATTATGCATAAAGGCATACAAAATTAGAAGTACATGTATGTCATATTTGACCGACAGGTTTAAAAAAAGAAATGCAACATATCTTTAAAGTGACTATCTTACCATATCCCCACTTTGATGCCAAATGAAGAGGAGTGTCCCCTCTATTATTCTGAGCATTCACTTCAAGTTTAGTCCTGACTTTATCAGTAAACACTAAAGCCTTCACACACTACAATATAAATATCAAATGCATAGTCACACATTTTACATTAGACATATACATGTAATGCACCAGTACCATAATTGATCTAAATACAAAGTTGAAAAGCTAGGTCATGATGAGAAAGTACAATAACTTAAATAAGACTGGGACCACAAAAGACTTTCAATTTGTAGTCACACATACCGGGTATTACGACAAATTGGAAAATTCAGCACACAGGATGTTATGAAGCCTTCAAGAGGATTTAAAATGAGTCAGGCTCTCTCTTTTTCCAAGAATAGCATGCTATATATATATATGTACTAATATCAAGGCTTTGAATTCTAAATACATGTACAGTTGCTATTTGTTTGGATTTTTTTAATGCACATTACATTTAATATGCACTCAAAGTATATCTAGGCCAAAGTTTTTTTTTCAATTGGTTTACGATTCCGCCGACCCTAATTTTCACAAATCATGAAAATAAAAATAATGTCTTTTTCCGACATATTTTTCCGGATTTTTCTCAGCTGAACTGTTGGGTTTTAAATTTTAGAATGCATCTTAGTCAAATAAGCGCTTATAAATATATGAGACCTTTACAAACATTTAGGTGACCGTAAATAAACACATGTGCAACCAAAAATGGCGGTTCTGTCATGTAAGAAGGTAATTCCTCACTGAAAGGAATGACACACACTTAAAGAACTTTTTATGCATGGAAAAGTGAATAAAATCTTGGATGCATGATCCCTTTCTCTAATTGCGATGTCTCAATTGGCTAAATTCATCCCGTAATATTGGAGAGTGTATGACCAACCCTGATCGACCTAGCAGACAAGGATACACCTATAGGTAACAGGGATTTATCAGTGCCTTCTCATGGGCCGAAATTCGGCCTCATTCCCAATTGAAAATGAGTTCAGTTTTCCCAATTTGGCAGTATTTTTTCCCAATTGGTGAACAATGCTTTTATTTTTAATTATCTTTGGGAAAAAAGTAAAATTGTCAGATTGTCTGTAATTTTCATCTATTTAACTCATTTAGCAAAGCTACAGTCATAACACATGTTTTAAAACACTGAAAAAACGTCGCCAACTTTTAATCCGAATTTCCTCCGTTTTCTAAAAATGATGATATTGTGTAATTATATAGATTTATTAAGTTATTTCCATCTACTCAATTGATCTACAAGTGAATGGTAAGGACTTTATGCATTATTTCAGATAGAAAAATATATTTTCAATGCATTAATACATATTAAAAGAGGACTTTTAGAAATGTGTACTTAGTATAATTTTTTGCAGGAGATTTATAATCTCCAGAAACAGATACTATAATGACCTAAATTGAAATCTCATACACACATGTACATGTACTACCCTAAGTTGTATAAATACTTTATACTCATTGAAGTCCATTCTAATTGTCGTTTGGTTGCCCAAATTAGAGTTCATGCTGAAATGTTAAATGAATTACCCCTGAATACATGATTTAAGCAACATTTTAATTTTTTTTCCAATTTCATCAAATAGCCGATATTTTTTTCCCAATTTCCCAAAAATGGTGTTTCCCAAAATAGGCTGATAAATCCATGGATAATAGTTAAGCCAATTTAGTGTTGAGAGATACATCTTAGTTGAAGTAACGCTGACCTGAGTGATTATTTCACTGGATAAGTTCAAATGTGTATAAAACATTTTGTTAATTTATAGAAGTAATTTTAATATACAAATCTTTGCAAATTTGATACTCAATTGAGATTAGAGCCCTCTGAATTACTAAGTAAATAATGAGCATTGCCTACTGTGCAGGTACATAACAAAATTTAAAGAAGGGCTTGATCGAGAAATTATTTGAACATTAAATTTAATAGCTGCATGATCAAATTATTACAGTATAACCTTTATTTCAACGTCAATTACTTTCAATATTGTTAAACAATTAAATTGTATTTTTCTTCAATCTAAATTTAACTTAAATTTGGATCCTTATTTTTAGTTTGTGGGGATACCGAGGTTTATAACACATCACATATCACTGAAGAGCACAAAAAGAAGTTGAACATCATGAACCAAGCACTGATTGACAAACAAAAATCAGAACTAAATGAAAATGACATTCAGTCTAAAGTTAGAAATGAATTAAAATTAAATAAAAAGAGTTATGTGATCAAGACAATAAAACTTAAAAGTACTATTGACGTGTATTATTTTCATTAAAATAAACATTGCTGGTATTTAAAAATGAAATTGTTGAATTCTAAATTATTTTTATTTTTATTTTTCGACCACCCAATGCATTTTTTTGAGACAGAAAATCGTAAACCAAAAAAAATAAAAACTTTGGCCCTAATTTTTTTTTTAATATGGTGTACATGCAACAATTATGTATATAGCATTTATACATGTATGTATCTCTTTACATTTGGTTTTTGGTTTAACCAGAAATTCCAAGATGTCTTCACAATATGGGTATTAGCAAAATTAGACTAAACTTACATCTTCATGTCCACTGTCTACACAGAGATGGAGAGGGGTATTACCGACACCATCAGCCTGGGTACAGTCCGCACCAAAGTGAATCAACAAAAGCTGAAGAAAAAGAGTTTGAAGTTATCTGTATACACAACAATTCATATAAATGAAAGTTTGTAGCTCAGCTGATTCTAGAAATATAAAGTTTACCTCCTACCTATATTACAAAGCGAGAAGATATATGTTACATAAAACCAGTGTCTATGATGGAGTATAATAAATTAACTTTAATAAAGGTGTTTTGCACCTAATAAATTAATTAAATTCTTATTATTTCATTTTCAATAAAGATGGCATGCCATGATTATGTAAGATGTAATTGATAAAAAAAATCTCTTTAAATGCCAACATCTCAGTCTCCAATAAGCCACTTACAATAATGTTCTGGTAGCCTTTCTGGCAAGCCAGATGTAGTGGGGTGTAGCCCAGATAATCACTGGCATTGACTATTGCTCCATGCTGAACTAAAAGGTCCACAAGGTGGGCTTGTCCATGTAATGCTGCTATGTGGAGGGCTGTAAGAAAATGATCAGTATTTATCTGCACCATATGTAAATTGTATGTTTTTCTTTTAACTCTCAATAAGCTTATTTTTTTTTTATAATTACTTTCATTTTTAGAAGAAATTTTTTTTAGCTAGATGCTTTATCAGCTTATTTTTAGTAACACTGCCGTTATAGTCTTCTTCAGAAAAAACATATAAATGATTAATATATAGCAATACTTATCATTTCAATGTAATTTTATTGTAAAAAAAAAAGCTTAAATCATTTCAATTGTAATCATCATTTAATGGTACAAATCTAAAATCATTCAAATCTGAACATTTGTGTCACTTTCAAATATCTGTTACCAGTAATTTGTTTAATATACTTTGATTATGAAAACATTACAGTAAAACATCATTATCTTGAACTTGATGGGACTGAGAAAAAACTAAGATATCAGAGAATTCCAGATATCGAGGGGAAAATACTCAGAGATTAAGTGGTTGGGACTTTCAATTTACTTCGACATATTCATAGTATTAGAAATATGGGTGTTTGAGATAACAAAGTTCAACTGTATTTTAGTATAAACTTTATGCAAAACTGTACCTGTGTACCCATGGTCATCTCGTGTGTATGCTGTAACCAGGGTTTTCTCTGTTGGATTTTGCCTTAACAATGTGTGACATTTGTTACAGGAACACAGAGGGTGACACATTTGTAAGAGGATTTCCTCCCCAGGGGTGTTGGGTTTCCCCAGCATTGCCCTCACTGCTGCCTCATCTCCCCCCTCCACATACTGATCAGAAAAATGTATAAAATATACTTAGCCATTTTCTGCTAATCACCACCCTCCATATTCTGATTTTAAAAATGTTTGAATCAAATACATTTGGTATTGTTTGCATTCTAAATATATTTGAACATGATGTACAATGTAACTTAAAATATTTCCATACTGACAGTCAAACTAAAAGAATTGGGTTACATTCATTGTTGAGAAAATCATTCTTAAGACAAAGCAATTAACTTAATTCTAATAACAAAAGCGACTGAAATCAGTGCAACTATTATGCAAGTGCATTATTTTAAATATTCTCAAATTTATATCAGAGATTTTTTTCACTGGTAAATACTGGTGAATGGTTTTTTTTTTCTTTCATTATCTTCGTAATCAACAGAATTAACACAAATATCTTTACATTACCCATTCTAGAGAGAAAATGAAGACCTATGTACTTTGTTTCTGTAAAGCTTACACTGAAGAATCTATCCACACTCTTCGTTGTGCCTGAAGCCTGGCGGTTTACCTGTTTCCTCTACAAAAAACAAAGACAATTATTGGCACTTGAAAGTTTATCATAATTTATCTATTAAGTCATCAATTGCTAATCCATAACCAGCAAAATGCCTGAAGAATTGTGACAAACTATTAATTTGTAAATTTTGTGTTGCTGACATTTTATATGACTGGAAAAGGTCAGATATTTTATATTCTAATTGATGCTTTATTATTTTTGCTGGAAGGGCTATAATATTTTATATCTTTAAGATGCTCATGGCATTATATTTGCAAGTGATGCATCAGTTACCATAAACTGTTTGATAATACATTTTGATGCAAATATCAGCCTAATTCCAATGTCTATACCTTGAGAGAATATAAACTTAATGAGGTTATTGCTATGTGTGTTATATCTTAAGATTCTGAAGACATTATTCTAAAGTGATACAGCAGCTAACGTAATGTCTATGCATACATCAGCCTGTTTCTGATATCTATACCTTGAGAGAGTATGACTTGATGGCCTCTTTCTGTAAAATGCCACTTCTTATGTGTTCAATAGCTGCTTCCACAGTAGTCAAGTAAAACCTTCAATACAAATGACTTCTCCTCAATAAAATTAAAAGGTGAATTTGTAAAAATATGTCACATTCTCAAAAGCATTATTTAAAGTCTACTATAGGTAGGTATTTATAAATCTATATTTATGTAATGTTATTTGTTTCAAAACAAAAATCAAATTAAAGTTCTCATTCCAGGTTAAGAAAACAGAGGTAAAAGAAATTATTAGGTCATACTTACATAAATTCATCAAAATTATAAGCTCGTGAGAAGTGAAATTCCTTCATATATCTTAGATTTGCCATCCTGCATAAAAATACACATGATAAAGACTATAATTCATATATGCCATTCATGCATAGAGGTTAAAGTACAGCACTGTAGAATCATCAGACATTGTATTTTGTGGGGTTCAATTTTTATGGATTTCATGGATATCCAATACCAAAAAAAAAATAGATAACTTCAACAAATAATAATTTATAGCATACTGCATACATAAAAATGCTTGCTTACAAAATCATCTCCCCAAGACATGTAAATTTTGAGCAATCCGCAAATACAGAGAAACTTGTCTAATCCGGACACCACTGGTTCCAAAGAAATTGGCCGGATCAGTCAACATTCCAGATTAGGCAACATACATTTTAAGCAATTGAATTTATTGAATGGGACTTAAAGTTTACAACAAGACTTCGGAATACACAACATCTGGATTACACAATTTTCACTGTATTGACCCTATTAATGAATTTAAAGATTCCACAGCATGTAATTTAACATTTACCAGTTTGGAATCTCAGACTTGATTAGGAGGTATATCATGATGGGGAGAAACTCATCAGTAGTCAACATCAATGATGCATCTGTGAAGAGAAAAAACATCACAAAGCATGCCCTATCTTTTGTACATATAGATTAAAACAAATATAACTCAATATTTAGTTCTGACATTGATTATGATTCAAATAGCTATAATTCTATATTCAAATCTAATTGTGATACATATATTTGGGGTAGAATAACTCATATACAGGTTTACTGAAAAACTAAAAATCTTACATGTAACGTACATGCACATGTCATATAATTGTATCTATATACTTTATTTTTCCTATTATAAAAATCTTTGTAGATTCTATCAGACAATATGACTTTTTTAAATCTCCAACCAGGGAGCAAGAACACAACACATACTTGTGACTTCCATTGTCATTTAAGGAATACATTCTTTTTTATACATTGAAAATGCCATACTAGTATACACTTTTAAGTACTCTATGGGGATGAATTCCACAGGTTGTAATTTTCATTTTTTTTTCTCTCTTATGACATTATCATGTTTGATGAGGGTATAAAATAAAAGTTATCTCCCTTTGCTTGCATTATTAATCAAGACCATAGATCAAATAGGGTCCATGTTTAACAATAAATACTGGTCATTATCTGCTATAAAAATGCACTTTTTAATTAAATCAATGATGCTATATTTTAAACAGTTAAAGACAATTTCAATATTTCTAACCTTGTGTAAATTTTGGTAACAGTTCACATGACTGAAAATACACCAGGAGTAAATTTACTCATATATGTAAAAGTTAATTTGCACTTAGTCTGACTAGATGTAAATTGTGCACTAGGAGTAAAAATAAAACGTACTCACATGCAAATCTTGATTCCCCCCCCCCCCTCCCCTCCTTCACACGCACTAAAATACACTCAAGCACAAAATTTGCAAATAGGTAAAATTTGCTCACTGTGTGTAAATAGGCACATGTGAATGGGGCATAAGACATAATAAACTTTGACAATGCATGTATTGAGCTGTGAACAACTTTTCTTTGCAAAGGTCATAAGACAATATGCATTCTAAATGCTTGCATTTTTGATAAATAAAAAGAAATGACAGGGTATGGTGATGGCCGAATCTGGCCCCTTATTTGATGTAAAAATCAGAACACAGTTAAAATTATGACAGTTTGAAGTTAAGAACTTAAAATGATGCTTGTTTTAAAACCAGCACTAATTTTGATTCAAAGCTTACACGGAGGCCACAAGAGGGTGCAGAAGTAGGACATTTTCCCGAATTTCCTCAATTCTGGTGGAATTTCGTCAAATTTGAGATACTTTTCACTTCGGGAAACACAGAGCACAAGCTTGCCTATCTGAGATTTTTATACATGAGATGCATCTGATACTAGTGTATGGAATATATAAATTTGGTAGATAGGCAAGCTTGTGCTCTATGTTTTCTGAAACAAAATATGCTGTAAAATCGATGAAAATTTGCATAAAAATGAGAAAATTTGGAAATTGACATATTTTCTGACCTTCCTGTGACCTCTGTGTATCCCATAACTTAGAACCAATACTCATTTTGTGGCAGGGGTAACAACAGGTTTCTACTGATAAACTGGTGCATCATTCTGAAAGACACCCAAAACCAGGGGCCAAAAAGGGGCCTTAGCCTGTCTTGTCCTTTATTTAACCATGAATACAGTTACTGTTGATTTTCACATTGCTGTCTAATCACCTTTCTTATCCATATCTTTAGTTGGCGTGCTAAGATTGGACACAACTCTCTTCAGACAAAGAAGTCGACCCAAAGGAGTAGAAAACTTGTTAATGCTTTGTAATTCTTTCTTGGCCAGTCTTATGTTAGACATAAACTCGTGGCGGACACCCAGGTCATCCAGTTTGATGTCTGACAGAGTGCGAGCACACCTGTTCACTTCTGCATCCTCTCCTGTCAGGTTTGTCTGAATGGCTTGGAACAATCCACGATGAATAGAGACCATCATGTACACCTAAAACAAATGCACAATAAAACCTTCAAAAACTGACTTATATACCAGTATGATATGAATGAGGTTTCTTTTGAAAACAAAATTATATCCCAGTCTGATCATACTGTCAAACATAAAGAAAAAAATACTAGATCATTTCCAGTTTATCTGATTCAAGACCATAAAAAATATGCATCTTTAAACCATACTGAATTCATATTGTTCAATCAGGCAGTGAACATACTTTTATAATGGTATAAATTTAATGTCAGAAATATAGAATAAATTGTCAGTGCTATAAATACATATACACATTGATCAAAGCTAAGATATAAACAAAGAATGCCAAAAATTAAATGTACATGTATTAGGAAATTAAAAGCTGACCTCAACTGCGGACTTCAGCATATCCATTTCTTTCTTGTTCTCATGAACTCGCCTACGCTGGATAAAAAAGGGATACATATAAATGTCACATATTACACGTACTTTTTCAAAATGATTTATTCTTTTTAAAAAGGATAACATGTAAAATTAATTATAATAATTTACAAACTTTATCCATCCATGCATGCATGCATGCTGATAATATATATTTACATGCAGTACTTCAGTAATCAGTGTATGTTCTATATTATTTGAAAATAAGTGTAGCACTGTTTCTACATTTTTTCCCTTACAATTGATGAATCTTTAAGAACAGTCTGCATTGCCTTTGTAAACTGAGTACTGGCAACCTCCTAAAATAGAAAATTTCATTTTGTGTGGCAATTTAAGTAAGTGAAATTAAAACACATTTAAATGTATACATATATAAACTAATTAGGAACAATTCTGCATTCTCTTCATCTCTAACAAATACATGTACATTTAAAATCATTTCAAATACATGTACATGTACCAATCATTATTGCAATGAATCATTTTCAATATTGAAGATAGATGCAGGAGTTTTCAGGACACTTATATGCTGTCAAGAGATAATTCTTTAACAGTAAAAATGAAATACTACAATATAGTTATGATAACAAATTATTATTCATTAATCATGTAAAATTTCATATCAATTTTCTAAACAAAATAATTTTATAATTACAATATATGTACGAGGGTTGTTCATAAAGTTTGTGGACAAATGCTATAATTTTCTTTTAAATTAAAGTCTGCACTGGCAAGCGTGTACGATAATATTAAATTTTATACTATAAACCACGATTTAGTAAATAAGCTAATAGATAATTTATGAGCGTCATCAATATAAACAGTTCCTATACACAAGCTGAACAGCCCAGTCCTACTTTGCACAAGATTTATCACAACGCCATGAATAGGGATATCACATTTTCATCAAAGAACAGTGGTTTTCCACTTCTTGTAGTGTCTCTGAAATTGTTCACACTGTTGAAAAATTGTATAAATCAATTTCAAATCAATGAACTAAATATATTCCAATAATTTCAAATTGTTTGAATAAATATTTTGTCTCTGACATCGTTTCAACCATATTAAAACATAATTTTAGGATTGGACGCTGTTCTGTTTGGATGGCTGACGTCACTTTTTCTGTAATTTTTGAAACATATTTCTTGCATTTTTTCTTGATATTTTCACTGTCTGTATAGTGATATTAAAGATGTCAGAAAATGGCAACAGCAGCTTTATTTGCAACACATTTAATTTTTTCTAAAGCTTTGACTTGATTTATAAAGAAAATAACAATTTTAATCAGAACACTTTATTTCAGAGTTTTTGGCATTTTAACCCTGGGCTGTGCACACTATCTGTGACCTTTAAGGACAATGGTTTTTACAAAAATATTAAGTTCCAACAACTCAAATCAAACTATTCCAACTTGGATTTTCATAACAAATAATTTGGTATACTATACAATAAGTATATCTAAAACCATTAATTTCCACAAAAACGTCATTGTCCACGAACTTTAAGGACAACCCTTGTATACATGAGAACAAACTTTTGACTTCTCACCACAATGACAATAAATTTCTCTGAGGCCAAATTTCTGTATTGTTTAGAAAATGAATCCAATTGTCTGTCCAATGTGTCTTGAAGTCTTTTTCCTCCTACACAACACAAACATTACAACTTACAGAAGTGTAGAATGCAAAATGGAAAGGGTTTTTCCTTTTTTTTGTTGTTTTTTAGATGAATTTGACAACAATATCTCAATCTTACCATGGCTACCAAAAAGGAAAGCTTTACACTGCTCATAAGACCTTGGCATAGTTTCTTGAACTGTTTTCTCCTTTTGCTGACTTCCTGCTTACAAAAAATAAAGTTTACCAGTAGGTACTTGGTGTATTTTAATAGAACAATGCAATCACTATGCACCAAATTGTTATAACACTTGAAAACTTTTGTGTTGCAATTATAAATTTCTTAAGAGGAAGAAAACGAAATGGTGAAAATACATGACAAGTACATTTTGCATATCAAAAAGTTTTCCCTTTTAAAATCTGCTCAATGATGAACCCCCCCCCCCCCAATCCCATCCCCCACTAAAAATACCAGAATGAGGTCTGTTAAGGAAATTTTCAATGCAGAGAACTTGGTAGCTTTCATCGTTGTTGTTGTAGAATGCTTCTTCAAACAATATATTGACCTGTAAAGAACAAGATGCTGTTTTATGTACTGCATAAACTTAAGATTCTTTGTATTGAACTTCATTTTTATTGCTTTGTGAGTTCCAAGACTCCTACTGAGTACAAGCTAAAACAGTCTTTGTTGTTAATTTATGTTGCACAAAATTATTCCTTTATACTCATGATTCATGACAGTAAACATTGAATGGCACAAAGGATTTACTTCCCCAGTAAATCATGATCAGGAAATTATTGAAAATTTGCAATATATCTCTCATACATGTATTTTTAAAGTTAATTTAACACAGATAAGTTTAACATTTATCGATATATATACATGGAAGTTAATTTAATAGTACATATATCAGATACTTATGCATGTCTATAAAAGCAATTCTAGTAATAAAGTACAAATCATATTGAATCATACTCTCCTAGATTCCTCGATCCCCCCAGTCATTATTCATTCCTTATAAGGTACCAGTACTCACCTTGTTTTCCTCCTGACCCAGGAATATCTTAACTTGATTTTCTTCTATTTTCACAGCCTTTAGAAAAGTCAAACAGGAAGACTCCAATAGATATACAAAATAGTTAATTCATGGGTAGGAAAGACATACAAGAAGATTGTCTATTGTAGATTCTTTATTTTATGCAAGTACTTATAATATTATGAAATGACTCATACATGTCAAATCCTAAGATTGTGAATTCTTGAGTGCAATGTCTGTTAATCAAGAGCTTTTACATGTATTTCAGCAATATAAAAAATAAAGCAAGAAGTTTCATTTTGAGAGTAGCACTTCTAGCGAAATTATGCTATAATAATTTCTTATATAAAAAAACATATAAATTCTTATAATAAATAAAAAACAGTATTTTAAGTCTATATTAGCATTTACCATTATCAAGCAAATTGTAACATGAAAAATCTAGAATGCATATTCCTTTATATAATGTTTGATAAGGATCCATTGAAAAGAAAAGCATAAATCATATTAGCCATATATTTTAATTTTCACCATCACTGACTGATAATTTTTTTTATACCAGCATTTTGAATATGTAGCATGTATATCTTTCTTAAATTTTTAAACACTTTCTAAATATTTTGTGAAAATTTGATACATTAAAAAAAATTCTTAACCCACCATAAATATATAAGTAAATGTATATTGATCATGTGATAGCATATTTCACACTATGATAGCTAGGACAAGATTCATAAAAGGAAGTGAGGCTGTACAGGATCATCTAGCATAATTACCATCACTTTCAATTTCATAATTAAGAGGCTGGGATTATCTACCAAGACATGATTTCACTGTGTATTATCTCCATTATATAATTTTTTTTTTTTTTTTACATAATCTACAAGTAGTCACAACACTCACCTTATCAGACCATGTTTTCCACACCCCACTGTCTCCCTGAGTTGTCAAAATATGATCCCTTAGATCTTCCTCTGATATTTTCTTTTTTTCCACCACAGAATACTGTGGAATGCAAAGCTACAAAATATACCATTCTAACATGTTCTAAAATTGTACATGCAAAACCTGTGGTGGGGTACTTTGCTCACATTTAATTCAACATATGCTATCACACAAATGACAATTAAATTTATATAACTATGCAAATGAATAATTTGCAAATAAAATTTAGAGTATAATGGTATTTACATACCAAAAAGTAGATATCATCTATATCATAGAAAAATATACATCATTTATTGAAAACATTAATATACCGTGCATCTTAACGAAGTTGCTTCTTCATACAGTTGGCTGAATTCACTTTGAAGTGTTGTAAAGAAGGGATTCTCATAAATGTCTTCATCATACTTATCCATTATATTGGGTATTGTCCAATAACAAATTAAAATATTTACCTGAAAATATACACATTTTTTTATTAATATTTTTTCTTATCGAATAATTTTTTCAGAGTAAGAACTTACTTGTCTGAATTCATACACTATAAAGCTGCTGACAAAACTTACTGCTCAAAAAACTTAATTCAAGTCAACTTGGCAACAGTTTTAAAGTGTGACTTAGACTTATGTATAAAAGTCTTAATTAAAAATCATCATATTAAATTTTAAAAAAATAACTCATAAAAGTCATATAAAAATAAAAAATATATAATATATTAATATATATAGATATAATATAAATATAATATAATGTAATATTTTATAATACTGGCATGGTAAATAGTTTATTAATAATAAAAAAAAAAATACTAAGAGTCTAGAGAATTTTAACATTCAATATCTTGGCATTTTATTGAGATTGCATTATGTATTCATGTTTGCCTTAAATTGAAACAGCATTCAAATGAATATTGAGCAGCCCCTTGTAAACAAAAATTGTCATCTGGTCAATCACTCAACGGTAATATTTATGATGGGTATTGGCAGCTAGGTAAGATGTGTATATTAATTTTCAAACAAAATTATCATAATAATTTAGTACCAGGCCTATTAGCCTCTGTCAATAAAAACCTCAATCACCAAGTCATAATGCTTGGAAGGGTCATATTGAACACTTACAAGACAGATGCTGATACTAGTACTGCACATGCAGTTTTTATTTAAATATTGATACTGACAAATCTCATTAATTTTGAGTTATTTCATCATGTTCATTGAAATAATTAATACAAATCAATGGGAAACAATTTACCTATATAATAAAGGAGTTGTTGGAATTATATTAGTGAATATTGGCCCTTGTTAGCTGTACAAATGCACTCCCAAGCTTGTGCATTTGTACAGCCAATTAACTCATGTCAACATTCAACTCATGTCATATATTCACCAATTAAAGTTCAATTACCCTATACTATATAATATAAAAATATATTTTTTAAAAAATAAGTCAACTTGGCAATAATTTAAAGTGGATCTAAAACTATGACTTAAAGTCTTAGATGAGGGTCTTAAATGCTTGTCACCTTAATACATTTGTGAAATATAATGCATATAACGTACTGTATAATGTCTATAGTTAATTCTGTTTTTTTTTAATTCACATACATTGCATAGATCATATATAAATGATTCTTTTGAATGAAATAAGTTCAGAAAAATAAATGTATTACTTGATCGAATCAGGGACCTATAATATATTAGTTGAATTTTTTTTTAAAAAAGTGTCCCAGTCCAGAATGCGACACATACATCACAGCATGCATTTCTTCAGATGCTGCAAATATGAAGTTTGAATTCCTATGAAGGCATTCTAACACATTGTTTAAAAAAAAAACAATTAAAAGCTACCATACTTCAACTTCTGGGTAAATTTTATTTCACTGCCTTTTCGTACACAACATATACACATATTGATGAAATCAGTTTTATTACAAATTCTACTGCACAGCAATTGATTTCTGTTTGAATTTCAGTGTGTGACTTTTTATATTGAAAGCTGTTTGTTGATGAAAAAAAATCCCTTTTGCCTGTTAATTCTTGTAAAGTGTACTACTATAAATCAGATGAATCACAAGACAAACACAAAACAAGGCCAAGGACAACTGCTTAAAAAATCTCTCTGGAAGAGCCCCACAATCAAGCCACACATTTGTCCATTTCATACATTGACTTCAAAACCATCTGTAGTGGATACATTATGTACCTAAACAATACATATACTCGTGATATTTTTCTTCTTTTATGCAACGCATTTTCATTTGTGATTTTTCTTCTAACTGACGAGTAAAATGTACAGTAACAATAAACTGATGAGAAATGGATTACTATTTCTCTTCTCATATATATACCAATGTTTTACTCAGTGTTTATGTACATTAATCAAAGCATAACAAAGAAAATATAGGATACACTACCCATTTTTAACCTTTCGCACTCATAATCTGTTTGTTTTCCTACATACACTAAAATTACCTCCAGGAACGAAAGAGTAGCTAAGAACTTTTGAGAAGTTATCTTTCCTTTTTTAAAATTATCACGGAGCTATTGTGATTGTGTTAGAAATTGTACATATTGAATTTAAAAAAGGTGAAGGTAACAGTGACCGATCTATAAAAGGAAGAGGAAAAAACAAATCAGTGAACAGCCACAGGACATAAAATACGGACCTCTAGAAATTCCAGTGGTGGGATTAGGTGCCTAAGAGGATTTAACATCCCCTGACGACTGGTCACACCGGCCGTGAACCTTATGTATTGTTCAGATAGATGGAGTAATCGTAGTCAAATTTAGTATAAAAATTGGTATGAAAAATATCAGTCAAAATACGATGCAATGATAGATTATATTTGCCTGAACAAGGTTATTATATCGACCATAGAATTTACGAAATGCTGACTTTAAATGATGATTTTGAAATCCCTGCAGCATCAACATATTATCTGTCAGTAGCCTGCCTAGGTTTAAAAATATTGTTTGTACTCTGAGCATGCTCTTGAGTATGGAGTGAGCTAGGAGACATGATGCAAAAACACCATACATGTACATGTATGCATGTGATAGTGAAATATTACTAGTTCATAAATAAGGAAAGTTGGTGATGGGAAAGCTGAAGTCATCTGGTTTGTCATACAGTTTAGAAGTTAATTGGTCCTTAACGTCTGTAGTCAGTAAATCATCCTACAAATATTACAAATATGAATCAGATGGTCTATGGTCTTTTATTTCGAGTTCACTGGGATATATCGAGTCGACATCTGAATGGAAATAACTATTGTTAACTGATAAAACGTCTTCGATATATATCTAAATGTCGAGTTGAAGGCTACAACAAGTGTTTTATTCTCATATAGAAGCTTTTGAGTAAATTCTTCTTCGTAGGAATATAAAATAGTTCGGCTTATAAAGGACACTCGGGTGGCTCGTACCTCGCACACTACTTAACCTCAGACGTCAAATGTGTTCTACCACATTGCTGATACAGTCATGTGTTCTTATTTGAAATTCATTCAAATCTTATGTATACCTTTGAAATCTGAGTTACTTTTTGGCATGCCCAACACGATGTTTTTGTTTTCAAAGACTACTAACATAAGGTCGTTATCAAAAGCAATATACATGTACAAGGAAGAATTAGACAAGTTAAAAGAAAACTTTTGAAGATCTCTATGCAGAGCGAAATATGAAATGAGTTACAAGACCGTTTCCGGCGGAGAAATGTATCGATTTGATGCATACTCTTCCACCAATCACATCCGAGGTTTATATGGAGCGTAGCGGAGTCAGCCGAGGATTGCCGATTGAATAAAGGAGCATAATTAGTGTCCATCAAAATTCCAACAGACTGTTGGAAAACTCGGCCTTGTCAATGAGGAACTCCAGCATCCTTTTAATACCAGAGTACTTGCGTAGAATCAGAGTAATTTTCAAAAAAGTAATTTAGGTGATGACTTATCAAAAGATATGAAAATTTCCAAGTTCCATTTTTATTGAAATGATGTCTATGATATCAAAAAGCCTGGACTTTAATTTATCCTGAGGAATGGTTGCATAAAATGTAGAAAAGTCATACGTTTTTAATGTTACTAACATTTTTTTCCTCTAAAATTGTATAGCAGATAATATGAAAAAATTTAAAGAAAAAAAAACTAACAAACAAAAACAAGGGTGTTAAATGTTGCCCGATACAATAAGAATGGAAAGATTCATATCGATTTCTAATTACATGTGTATTTATTTAATGAAATGTAATTTAGTCACAGAGCAAAATATAAATTTTGTCTTTTTAAGTAGGGAATCCCCAGTGTTGCCTCCTTGAAACAAAACGAATTCGATATAAATATTAAGAGCCAGGAATTTTCTTCAAAACTGTCATTTCCGATTTTCTTTCAAGGAGGCATAATTTTAAAAATTGAAGGAAAAAAATATCCCTCCAAAATGCAAGAACTAGTGTACGAGCGTATCGGGATTGGTTGAGCACGATGTCTTTTTGAACTTGGTTCGAATCCTGAAATGGCTGATTTTTATACATGATATTTTTTCTTCATAAAATAATGAAAATATAGTGAAATACATTGTATCAATTCAAAAAAGAGATTATCCCGATATGATGTTCTTAGGAGTAATATTTTAATTAACTTTAATTACATTTACATGTAAATTGTTTCCCTCATTACTGGGATCTCAAAATAATAAATCATAGGGATTTTATATAACTAAATGACGATGTGATAAAAATGAAGTATAGTTTTAAATGATTTAATAATAACATGTTATCGTTATTAGTAATGGTCCTGAGACGACTTAAAACAGGGACGTATATACTAGGGATGCGCGATTTTATCGGTATACCGGTATATCGCGATTTTTCATTGCGTGATACGTATCGTGATACGGAGACTAAAATACCGGTATTAGGTACATAACTATAAATTCCGGAAATTATTCATGTATTTGTTCAAAGTATTGAATGACAATTATAGGAAATGTAAAAAAGGTTGAAAACAGTTAAACAATGGCATCAAAATGTGCTATATACTAAATAAATGAAAATTTAAAAAGTAAAGTTATGTTTTTATAGCATATTTTTAAGAAATATGATGGAAATTCATTTTAAATTGTAGTAAAAATTGTGTGTAAAAATATCACGATTTATCGTGATATTTTTGGGAAAAAATCGTGATATATCACGATACGAAGTTTTTGCCGATACCCATCCTTAGTATATACCGTACGCCCCTGCTTTAAACGACTAAATTGAAATGACATAATCAAGTGAAAGTCTTGGATCTAGCATCTACAACTTAGATATGGTACAACATTTTACTTTAAAGAAATACATTCACTATAGTTATCTTCATTTAAAAAAAACTGTTTAAGGTGCATATTGTATTATATGCTTGTAAGTTCTCCCTAACTATACATATATAGAGGCAGTAAAACGTACATGTATACAGTATGTATAAGTTGAATAAATTCCAACAGGTCGTCAATGTTCCATAAAATAATAACATATATGAAAGTTATGAATAAAATATATTTTTTAAAAACTTGCTTTGTTTTATGCAGGCCCCTAGGAAGCACTTTCGGGGGGGGGGGGGGGGGCAACCAAACATTTCCATTATATTTCATACTTTGATATTGAAGAAAACATTTTTGGTAGCTTTCTGCATGTCAGCTGTTGATGATAAAAAACATCCATGCATATGAACAATGTCGAATTTGTTTCAGTTGAGAACGTACTCAAAAAAGTTTGTAACCTCAAGCATAAGAACTGTACTCAATGGAGTACATGCATGTACCCGGAGTGCGGAGTAAAAGTCTGAGTACGAGTGTGGTAAAAGTTTTATAAAGTAAATCTCTCAAGACCATAAATTGAGAACAGATTTTTAAAAGTCAAAATTACAAAAGAAATAATTTTCAATAATCAAATAAAACTTTCATCACGTGTTTGTATTTAAATATCATAAAAATATCCAATTTTTGAAACACATTTGTAAAATAAAACTCAAGATATCATGACAAGTCCATTCTCAGTCTATTCTCAGTTTATTGTCTTGGGGCCTGCTTATTTTGCAATTTATGTTCAAAAATATTTCTTTTAAGCTTTGTATACAGTTTTAATGTACATGCATATAATAATGTTTTTTCTAGTTAATTTCTGTGCTTTTCTTGGCAGGACTCTTTCTTGTGAAAATACTTTAAAATCCTAAATAATAATTTTGCTTGCGGTCGATTTGATGTTTTGCATCAATCTTACATTGTGACTTGTAACATGTTAAATTACGTTGTATCAGAGACCGGTATGAACCGGGGGTGGGAGTGAAATGTTGCGGTCTACGTTATGCTTTACAGCAAAAACTACATACTGTATAATTGGCAGTTGTGCCTCCTCAATAAACTACACAGTACAAATGAAAGCTAATATACGGGTTTCCCCCTCTTAATAAAATATGATGACCTCCTCCCCAACTCTATTTTACCCCCCCCCCCGAAATTTCTTCTGACGGACCTATAAATAAAAGCCTAATGTACTGTTTAAATGCACATACGACGTATTTCTCTCAATTTTTAAATGTTCGGAAGTATTTATGTAATTATTGTGTAAGAGTTCATTTTGTAGCGTAAACATTCATAAACTTCTAGACAAAAATATAGGTAGAATGTTAGATCCGCCAATAAAAGTGAACAAAGGGAAATCACTCGTCTATGAAGCAATCGGAACACTTGGAAATATTGGGTAGCTTGTGTAAGAAAATGACCGAGTTTATTCCGAATGATGATGATGGGTTACCAAGGAAGTAGATCCTTTATGACAACAAAAGAGTTACAGAGCGCGAAAGTTTGTGGACGTGAAAAGGAGCAGAGAAATACACGAGGAAGAAAGCACCCAGACAGGTTTGTTTCTTACAAACATGTTTGATGTTGGTTTCAACTTAATTCATATATTACATATTTTGCGAAATTTAAACATGTAAGACCCTGTATTAATATTCATTTTGAATTTTTATCATAACATAAAGAGATGCATCAGAAGATAGTACTATTAATTAGAGGTCAAATCTATAAATTCAGTGGTCTTGATTTTCACAAATTCCACCCGTTTGTTAGGAAAACGATTTTAAATATTAAACATAGCATTTTCCACGGAGGAAGTTTCTGCAAATAGGCCTAGATACTTTATTCAATGGAAATTAAACTTATAAAATGGTAGATCAGTCACTATACTGGAGACACAGACAAATAATCAGGCACCAACAAGGGAGTTAAGTTAATCAACAAATAGATTTACTATTTATCAGGTTTGGATACATGTAAAGATAGATATGTATTTGAAACAAAATCAACGATATGTTCTGAACAGTATCACAGTCTCCGCTAAGTAGACGTACATGTATACTACGATACCCTACTTGCATTTTATATTTAGCAAAGATTTTGAATATCAATCAGTTGCTTGACTAATAATTTAGAGTAGTTTTTAATTCATTTTATTAATCTTTAGATAAAATTATTAAAATTTCTTCGAATTCCGGATTTTTACACCGTATCTGCTCCGAGCGTTACAAATGTAAATAACCCGGATACTGTTACCATGACTTCACACGAGTTGCAGGCCGCGGAGGATTTGGATGCACGGACAGAAGGAGAGATTAAAAATAGAAATATACAAGAAACACAGCAGGTATGGAGATTTTAAAGCGTTTTATGGCAATGTTCATATGGTGTTCATATTCTATATTACTGATTTTTACGCAAAATAACACAGGAAGTCATCATATCATATATTGTTTACACACAGAAAACTGGTTTTCAAAACAGTGTATTATAATGAAACATCCCTAAGTAACCAAACTCCGTCAAAGACTCAAAGTAAGCGAAAACATACAGCTTTATACTCTGATATATTTTTGGATTTGTTTTTCGATAGCAACTCACAGATTTCAACATTGTTTTTGGAACTGGCAGCAAAAATGCATTTACTGGGCCAAAATAACACTACTGAAATGATATCAAAAATGTTCAAATTCAAAGAATACATTAAAACCACTGTCATCAATAAGCATGAGAATAAGGCTATGTAAAGATTATAAGAATCAATAAGATTAAATAAATTATTAAAAATAGAAATTTAATAACTGCGTTTTACAAGAAAAAAAGAAGGATAATCTTGGAAGAGAGTGCATGAGTAAAGCTAAGCTAAAAACATTTCACCCCCTCCCCCCCCCACCCCCCCCACCCCCCGCCAAAAAAAAACAACAACAAAAAGTGATAGCTGCAAGTGTTTTGTAATATTGTATTTTCAGTTGAATGTGATTAGCATGGTACAGAAGAAAAGTGTGCATTGTTGATGCACTCAAGTCACAGTCTGAATAGGTAGTGTTAGTGGTACCAGTTGCTAATGTCCCTGGTTTTGTCTATGCTATAAACAAACCCAGTGGATTAAAAAACTGTTTTGAGCCACTCACTCATAAAACTTCAGAATGTGACTTGTACTGAATCTTGGCTGTGATAGAAGCCAAGAAACAACACCAATTGAAGAAAACTGCTAGCAGCACACAATGTGAAGATGGTAAGTTTATTTAATTATCAGATTCCTTTTCAATTGTAATGTTTATTTAATTCTTTTTTGGATAGCTGCAAGTGTTTTGTAATATTGTATTTTCAGTTGAATGTGATTAGCATGGTACAGAAGAAAAGTGTGCATTGTTGATGCACTCAAGTCACAGTCTGAATAGGTAGTGTAGTGGTACCAGTTGCTAATGTCCCTGGTTTTGTCTATGCTATAAACAAACCCAGTGGATTAAAAAACTGTTTTGAGCCACTCACTCATAAAACTTCAGAATGTGACTTGTACTGAATCTTGGCTGTGATAGAAGCCAAGAAACAACACCAATTGAAGAAAACTGCTAGCAGCACACAATGTGAAGATGGGAAGTTTATTTAATTATCAAATTCACTTTCAATTGTAATGTTTATTTATTTCTTTTTTTTTTTTTTTGATAGCTGCAAGTGTTTTGTAATATTGTATTTTCAGTTGAATGTGATTAGCATGGTACAGAAGAAAAGTGTGCATTGTTGATGCACTCAAGTCACAGTCTGAATAGGTAGTGTTAGTGGTACCAGTTGCTAATGTCTCTGGTTTTGTCTATGCTATAAACAAACCCAGTGGATTAAAAAACTGTTTTGAGCCACTCACTCATAAAACTTCAGAATGTGACTTGTACTGAATCTTGGCTGTGATAGAAGCCAAGAAACAACACCAATTGAAGAAAACTGCTAGCAGCACACAATGTGAAGATGGTAAGTTTATTTAATTATCAGATTCCTTTTCAATTGTAATGTTTATTTAATTCTTTTTTGGATAGCTGCAAGTGTTTTGTAATATTGTATTTTCAGTTGAATGTGATTAGCATGGTACAGAAGAAAAGTGTGCATTGTTGATGCACTCAAGTCACAGTCTGAATAGGTAGTGTTAGTGGTACCAGTTGCTAATGTCCCTGGTTTTGTCTATGCTATAAACAAACCCAGTGGATTAAAAAACTGTTTTGAGCCACTCACTCATAAAACTTCAGAATGTGACTTGTACTGAATCTTGGCTGTGATAGAAGCCAAGAAACAACACCAATTGAAGAAAACTGCTAGCAGCACACAATGTGAAGATGGTAAGTTTATTTAATTATCAGATTCCTCTTAAATTCAATGTTCATGATAATTTTTTTTTGATAGCTGCAAGTGTTTTGTAATATTGTATTTTCAGTTGAATGTGATTAGCATGGTACAGAAGAAAAGTGTGCATTGTTGATGCACTCAAGTCACAGTCTGAATAGGTAGTGTTAGTGGTACCAGTTGCTAATGTCCCTGGTTTTGTCTATGCTATAAACAAACCCAGTGGATTAAAAAACTGTTTTGAGCCACTCACTCATAAAACTTCAGAATGTGACTTGTACTGAATCTTGGCTGTGATAGAAGCCAAGAAACAACACCAATTGAAGAAAACTGCTAGCAGCACACAATGTGAAGATGGTAAGTTTATTTAATTATCAGATTCCTTTTCAATTGTAATGTTTATTTAATTCTTTTTTTGATAGCTGCAAGTGTTTTGTAATATTGTATTTTCAGTTGAATGTGATTAGCATGGTACAGAAGAAAAGTGTGCATTGTTGATGCACTCAAGTCACAGTCTGAATAGGTAGTGTTAGTGGTACCAGTTGCTAATGTCCCTGGTTTTGTCTATGCTATAAACAAACCCAGTGGATTAAAAAACTGTTTTGAGCCACTCACTCATAAAACTTCAGAATGTGACTTGTACTGAATCTTGGCTGTGATAGAAGCCAAGAAACAACACCAATTGAAGAAAACTGCTAGCAGCACACAATGTGAAGATGGTAAGTTTATTTAATTATCAGATTCCTTTTCAATTGTAATGTTTATTTAATTCTTTTTTGGATAGCTGCAAGTGTTTTGTAATATTGTATTTTCAGTTGAATGTGATTAGCATGGTACAGAAGAAAAGTGTGCATTGTTGATGCACTCAAGTCACAGTCTGAATAGGTAGTGTTAGTGGTACCAGTTGCTAATGTCCCTGGTTGTGTCTATGCTATAAACAAACCCAGTGGATTAAAAAACTGTTTTGAGCCACTCACTCATAAAACTTCAGAATGTGACTTGTACTGAATCTTGGCTGTGATAGAAGCCAAGAAACAACACCAATTGAAGAAAACTGCTAGCAGCACACAATGTGAAGATGGTAAGTTTATTTAATTATCAGATTCCTTTTCAATTGTAATGTCTATTTAATTCTTTTTTTTTTTTTTGATAGCTGCAAGTGTTTTGTAATATTGTATTTTCAGTTGAATGTGATTAGCATGGTACAGAAGAAAAGTGTGCATTGTTGATGCACTCAAGTCACAGTCTGAATAGGTAGTGTTAGTGGTACCAGTTGCTAATGTCCCTGGTTTTGTCTATGCTATAACAAACCCAGTGGATTAAAAAACTGTTTTGAGCCACTCACTCATAAAACTTCAGAATGTGACTTGTACTGAATCTTGGCTGTGATAGAAGCCAAGAAACAACACCAATTGAAGAAAACTGCTAGCAGCACACAATGTGAAGATGGTAAGTTTATTTAATTATCAAATTCACTTTCAATTGTAATGTTTATTTAATTCTTTTTTTTTTTTTGGATAGCTGCAAGTGTTTTGTAATATTGTATTTTCAGTTGAATGTGATTAGCATGGTACAGAAGAAAAGTGTGCATTGTTAATGTACTCAAGTCACAGTCTGAATAGGTAGTGTTAGTGGTACCAGTTGCTAATGTCCCTGGTTTTGTCTATGCTATAAACAAACCCAGTGGATTAAAAAACTGTTTTGAGCCACTCACTCATAAAACTTCAGAATGTGACTTGTACTGAATCTTGGCTGTGATAGAAGCCAAGAAACAACACCAATTGAAGAAAACTGCTAGCAGCACACAATGTGAAGATGGTAAGTTTATTTAATTATCAGATTCCTTTTCAATTGTAATGTTTATTTAATTCTTTTTTGGATAGCTGCAAGTGTTTTGTAATATTGTATTTTCAGTTGAATGTGATTAGCATGGTACAGAAGAAAAGTGTGCATTGTTGATGCACTCAAGTCACAGTCTGAATAGGTAGTGTTAGTGGTACCAGTTGCTAATGTCCCTGGTTGTGTCTATGCTATAAACAAACCCAGTGGATTAAAAAACTGTTTTGAGCCACTCACTCATAAAACTTCAGAATGTGACTTGTACTGAATCTTGGCTGTGATAGAAGCCAAGAAACAACACCAATTGAAGAAAACTGCTAGCAGCACACAATGTGAAGATGGTAAGTTTATTTAATTATCAGATTCCTTTTCAATTGTAATGTCTATTTAATTCTTTTTTTTTTTTTTGATAGCTGCAAGTGTTTTGTAATATTGTATTTTCAGTTGAATGTGATTAGCATGGTACAGAAGAAAAGTGTGCATTGTTGATGCACTCAAGTCACAGTCTGAATAGGTAGTGTTAGTGGTACCAGTTGCTAATGTCCCTGGTTTTGTCTATGCTATAACAAACCCAGTGGATTAAAAAACTGTTTTGAGCCACTCACTCATAAAACTTCAGAATGTGACTTGTACTGAATCTTGGCTGTGATAGAAGCCAAGAAACAACACCAATTGAAGAAAACTGCTAGCAGCACACAATGTGAAGATGGGAAGTTTATTTAATTATCAAATTCACTTTCAATTGTAATGTTTATTTATTTCTTTTTTTTTTTTTTTTGATAGCTGCAAGTGTTTTGTAATATTGTATTTTCAGTTGAATGTGATTAGCATGGTACAGAAGAAAAGTGTGCATTGTTGATGCACTCAAGTCACAGTCTGAATAGGTAGTGTTAGTGGTACCAGTTGCTAATGTCCCTGGTTGTGTCTATGCTATAAACAAACCCAGTGGATTAAAAAACTGTTTTGAGCCACTCACTCATAAAACTTCAGAATGTGACTTGTACTGAATCTTGGCTGTGATAGAAGCCAAGAAACAACACCAATTGAAGAAAACTGCTAGCAGCACACAATGTGAAGATGGTAAGTTTATTTAATTATCAAATTCACTTTCAATTGTAATGTTTATTTAATTCTTTTTTTTTTTTTGGATAGCTGCAAGTGTTTTGTAATATTGTATTTTCAGTTGAATGTGATTAGCATGGTACAGAAGAAAAGTGTGCATTGTTGATGCACTCAAGTCACAGTCTGAATAGGTAGTGTTAGTGGTACCAGTTGCTAATGTCCCTGGTTTTGTCTATGCTATAAACAAACCCAGTGGATTAAAAAACTGTTTTGAGCCACTCACTCATAAAACTTCAGAATGTGACTTGTACTGAATCTTGGCTGTGATAGAAGCCAAGAAACAACACCAATTGAAGAAAACTGCTAGCAGCACACAATGTGAAGATGGTAAGTTTATTTAATTATCAAATTCACTTTCAATTGTAATGTTTATTTAATTCTTTTTTGGATAGCTGCAAGTGTTTTGTAATATTGTATTTTCAGTTGAATGTGATTAGCATGGTACAGAAGAAAAGTGTGCATTGTTGATGCACTCAAGTCACAGTCTGAATAGGTAGTGTTAGTGGTACCAGTTGCTAATGTCCCTGGTTTTGTCTATGCTATAAACAAACCCAGTGGATTAAAAAACTGTTTTGAGCCACTCACTCATAAAACTTCAGAATGTGACTTGTACTGAATCTTGGCTGTGATAGAAGCCAAGAAACAACACCAATTGAAGAAAACTGCTAGCAGCACACAATGTGAAGATGGTAAGTTTATTTAATTATCAAATTCACTTTCAATTGTAATGTTTATTTAATTCTTTTTTTTTTTTGGATAGCTGCAAGTGTTTTGTAATATTGTATTTTCAGTTGAATGTGATTAGCATGGTACAGAAGAAAAGTGTGCATTGTTGATGCACTCAAGTCACAGTCTGAATAGGTAGTGTTAGTGGTACCAGTTGCTAATGTCCCTGGTTGTGTCTATGCTATAAACAAACCCAGTGGATTAAAAAACTGTTTTGAGCCACTCACTCATAAAACTTCAGAATGTGACTTGTACTGAATCTTGGCTGTGATAGAAGCCAAGAAACAACACCAATTGAAGAAAACTGCTAGCAGCACACAATGTGAAGATGGGAAGTTTATTTAATTATCAGATTCCTTTTCAATTGTAATGTCTATTTAATTCTTTTTTTTTTTTGATAGCTGCAAGTGTTTTGTAATATTGTATTTTCAGTTGAATGTGATTAGCATGGTACAGAAGAAAAGTGTGCATTGTTGATGCACTCAAGTCACAGTCTGAATAGGTAGTGTTAGTGGTACCAGTTGCTAATGTCCCTGGTTTTGTCTATGCTATAAACAAACCCAGTGGATTAAAAAACTGTTTTGAGCCACTCACTCATAAAACTTCAGAATGTGACTTGTACTGAATCTTGGCTGTGATAGAAGCCAAGAAACAACACCAATTGAAGAAAACTGCTAGCAGCACACAATGTGAAGATGGTAAGTTTATTTAATTATCAAATTCACTTTCAATTGTAATGTTTATTTAATTCTTTTTTTTTTTTGATAGCTGCAAGTGTTTTGTAATATTGTATTTTCAGTTGAATGTGATTAGCATGGTACAGAAGAAAAGTGTGCATTGTTGATGTACTCAAGTCACAGTCTGAATAGGTAGTGTTAGTGGTACCAGTTGCTAATGTCCCTGGTTTTGTCTATGCTATAAACAAACCCAGTGGATTAAAAAACTGTTTTGAGCCACTCACTCATAAAACTTCAGAATGTGACTTGTACTGAATCTTGGCTGTGATAGAAGCCAAGAAACAACACCAATTGAAGAATACTGCTAGCAACACACAATGTGTAGAGGGTAAGTTTATTTAATTATCAGATTCTCCTTAAATTGTAACGTTTAGGATAATTGTTTTTGATATCTGCAAGTGTTTTGTAATGTTGTATTTTCAGTTGAATGTGATTAGCATGGTACAGAAGAAAAGTGTGCATTGTTGATGCACTCAAGTCACAGTCTGAATAGGTAGTATTAGTGGTACCAGTTGCTAATGTCCCTGGTTTTGTCTATGCTATAAACAAACCCAGTGGATTAAAAAACTGTTTTGAGCCACTCACTCATAAAACTTCAGAATGTGACTTGTACTGAATCTTGGCTGTGATAGAACCAAGAAACAACACCAATTGAAGAATTCTGCTAGCAGCACAAAATGTGAAGATGGTAAGTTTATTTAATTATCAAATTCACTTTCAATTGTAATGTTTATTTAATTCTTTTTTTTTTTTTTTTTTGATAGCTGCAAGTGTTTTGTAATATTGTATTTTCAGTTGAATGTGATTAGCATGGTACAGAAGAAAAGTGTGCATTGTTGATGCACTCAAGTCACAGTCTGAATAGGTAGTGTTAGTGGTACCAGTTGCTAATGTCCCTGGTTTTGTCTATGCTATAAACAAACCCAGTGGATTAAAAAACTGTTTTGAGCCACTCACTCATAAAACTTCAGAATGTGACTTGTACTGAATCTTGGCTGTGATAGAAGCCAAGAAACAACACCAATTGAAGAAAACTGCTAGCAGCACACAATGTGAAGATGGTAAGTTTATTTAATTATCAGATTCCTTTTCAATTGTAATGTTTATTTAATTCTTTTTTGGATAGCTGCAAGTGTTTTGTAATATTGTATTTTCAGTTGAATGTGATTAGCATGGTACAGAAGAAAAGTGTGCATTGTTGATGCACTCAAGTCACAGTCTGAATAGGTAGTGTTAGTGGTACCAGTTGCTAATGTCCCTTGTTGTGTCTATGCTATAAACAAACCCAGTGGATTAAAAAACTGTTTTGAGCCACTCACTCATAAAACTTCAGAATGTGACTTGTACTGAATCTTGGCTGTGATAGAAGTCAAGAAACAACACCAATTGAAGAAAACTGCTAGCAGCACACAATGTGAAGATGGTAAGTTTATTTAATTATCAAATTCACTTTCAATTGTAATGTTTATTTAATTCTTTTTTTTTTTTTTTGATAGCTGCAAGTGTTTTGTAATATTGTATTTTCAGTTGAATGTGATTAGCATGGTACAGAAGAAAAGTGTGCATTGTTGATGCACTCAAGTCACAGTCTGAATAGGTAGTGTTAGTGGTACCAGTTGCTAATGTCCCTGGATTTGTCTGAATAGGTAGTGTTAGTAGTACCAGTTGCTAATGTCCCTGGTTTTGTCGATGCTATAAACAAACCCAGTGGATTAAAAAACTGTTTTGAGCCACTCACTCATAAAACTTCAGAATGTGACTTGTACTGAATCTTGGCTGTGATAGAAGCCAAGAAACAACACCAATTGAAGAAAACTGCTAGCAGCACACAATGTGAAGATGGTAAGTTTATTTAATTATCAGATTCCTTTTCAATTGTAATGTTTATTTAATTCTTTTTTTGATAGCTGCAAGTGTTTTGTAATATTGTATTTTCAGTTGAATGTGATTAGCATGGTACAGAAGAAAAGTGTGCATTGTTGATGCACTCAAGTCACAGTCTGAATAGGTAGTGTTAGTGGTACCAGTTGCTAATGTCCCTGGTTTTGTCTATGCTATAAACAAACCCAGTGGATTAAAAAACTGTTTTGAGCCACTCACTCATAAAACTTCAGAATGTGACTTGTACTGAATCTTGGCTGTGATAGAAGCCAAGAAACAACACCAATTGAAGAAAACTGCTAGCAGCACACAATGTGAAGATGGTAAGTTTATTTAATTATCAAATTCACTTTCAATTGTAATGTTTATTTATTTCTTTTTTTTTTGGATAGCTGCAAGTGTTTTGTAATATTGTATTTTCAGTTGAATGTGATTAGCATGGTACAGAAGAAAAGTGTGCATTGTTGATGCACTCAAGTCACAGTCTGAATAGGTAGTGTTAGTGGTACCAGTTGCTAATGTCCCTGGTTGTGTCTATGCTATAAACAAACCCAGTGGATTAAAAAACTGTTTTGAGCCACTCACTCATAAAACTTCAGAATGTGACTTGTACTGAATCTTGGCTGTGATAGAAGCCAAGAAACAACACCAATTGAAGAAAACTGCTAGCAGCACACAATGTGAAGATGGTAAGTTTATTTAATTATCAAATTCACTTTCAATTGTAATGTTTATTTAATTCTTTTTTTTTTTTTTTTGATAGCTGCAAGTGTTTTGTAATATTGTATTTTCAGTTGAATGTGATTAGCATGGTACAGAAGAAAAGTGTGCATTGTTGATGCACTCAAGTCACAGTCTGAATAGGTAGTGTTAGTGGTACCAGTTGCTAATGTCCCTGGTTTTGTCTATGCTATAAACAAACCCAGTGGATTAAAAAACTGTTTTGAGCCACTCACTCATAAAACTTCAGAATGTGACTTGTACTGAATCTTGGCTGTGATAGAAGCCAAGAAACAACACCAATTGAAGAAAACTGCTAGCAGCACACAATGTGAAGATGGTAAGTTTATTTAATTATCAAATTCACTTTCAATTGTAATGTTTATTTAATTCTTTTTTGGATAGCTGCAAGTGTTTTGTAATATTGTATTTTCAGTTGAATGTGATTAGCATGGTACAGAAGAAAAGTGTGCATTGTTGATGCACTCAAGTCACAGTCTGAATAGGTAGTGTTAGTGGTACCAGTTGCTAATGTCCCTGGTTTTGTCTATGCTATAAACAAACCCAGTGGATTAAAAAACTGTTTTGAGCCACTCACTCATAAAACTTCAGAATGTGACTTGTACTGAATCTTGGCTGTGATAGAAGCCAAGAAACAACACCAATTGAAGAAAACTGCTAGCAGCACACAATGTGAAGATGGTAAGTTTATTTAATTATCAAATTCACTTTCAATTGTAATGTTTATTTAATTCTTTTTTTTTTTGATAGCTGCAAGTGTTTTGTAATATTGTATTTTCAGTTGAATGTGATTAGCATGGTACAGAAGAAAAGTGTGCATTGTTGATGTACTCAAGTCACAGTCTGAATAGGTAGTGTTAGTGGTACCAGTTGCTAATGTCCCTGGTTTTGTCTATGCTATAAACAAACCCAGTGGATTAAAAAACTGTTTTGAGCCACTCACTCATAAAACTTCAGAATGTGACTTGTACTGAATCTTGGCTGTGATAGAAGCCAAGAAACAACACCAATTGAAGAATACTGCTAGCAACACACAATGTGTAGAGGGTAAGTTTATTTAATTATCAGATTCTCCTTAAATTGTAACGTTTAGGATAATTGTTTTTGATATCTGCAAGTGTTTTGTAATGTTGTATTTTCAGTTGAATGTGATTAGCATGGTACAGAAGAAAAGTGTGCATTGTTGATGCACTCAAGTCACAGTCTGAATAGGTAGTATTAGTGGTACCAGTTGCTAATGTCCCTGGTTTTGTCTATGCTATAAACAAACCCAGTGGATTAAAAAACTGTTTTGAGCCACTCACTCATAAAACTTCAGAATGTGACTTGTACTGAATCTTGGCTGTGATAGAACCAAGAAACAACACCAATTGAAGAATTCTGCTAGCAGCACAAAATGTGAAGATGGTAAGTTTATTTAATTATCAAATTCACTTTCAATTGTAATGTTTATTTAATTCTTTTTTTTTTTTTTTTTTGATAGCTGCAAGTGTTTTGTAATATTGTATTTTCAGTTGAATGTGATTAGCATGGTACAGAAGAAAAGTGTGCATTGTTGATGCACTCAAGTCACAGTCTGAATAGGTAGTGTTAGTGGTACCAGTTGCTAATGTCCCTGGTTTTGTCTATGCTATAAACAAACCCAGTGGATTAAAAAACTGTTTTGAGCCACTCACTCATAAAACTTCAGAATGTGACTTGTACTGAATCTTGGCTGTGATAGAAGCCAAGAAACAACACCAATTGAAGAAAACTGCTAGCAGCACACAATGTGAAGATGGTAAGTTTATTCAATTATCAAATTCACTTTCAATTGTAATGTTTATTTAATTCTTTTTTGGATAGCTGCAAGTGTTTTGTAATATTGTATTTTCAGTTGAATGTGATTAGCATGGTACAGAAGAAAAGTGTGCATTGTTGATGCACTCAAGTCACAGTCTGAATAGGTAGTGTTAGTGGTACCAGTTGCTAATGTCCCTGGATTTGTCTGAATAGGTAGTGTTAGTGGTACCAGTTGCTAATGTGCCTGGTGTTGTCGATGCTATAAACAAACCCAGTGGATTAAAAAACTGTTTTGAGCCACTCACTCATAAAACTTCAGAATGTGACTTGTACTGAATCTTGGCTGTGATAGAAGCCAAGAAACAACACCAATTGAAGAAAACTGCTAGCAGCACACAATGTGAAGATGGTAAGTTTATTTAATTATCAGATTCCTTTTCAATTGTAATGTTTATTTAATTCTTTTTTGGATAGCTGCAAGTGTTTTGTAATATTGTATTTTCAGTTGAATGTGATTAGCATGGTACAGAAGAAAAGTGTGCATTGTTGATGCACTCAAGTCACAGTCTGAATAGGTAGTGTTAGTGGTACCAGTTGCTAATGTCCCTTGTTGTGTCTATGCTATAAACAAACCCAGTGGATTAAAAAACTGTTTTGAGCCACTCACTCATAAAACTTCAGAATGTGACTTGTACTGAATCTTGGCTGTGATAGAAGTCAAGAAACAACACCAATTGAAGAAAACTGCTAGCAGCACACAATGTGAAGATGGTAAGTTTATTTAATTATCAAATTCACTTTCAATTGTAATGTTTATTTAATTCTTTTTTTTTTTTTTTGATAGCTGCAAGTGTTTTGTAATATTGTATTTTCAGTTGAATGTGATTAGCATGGTACAGAAGAAAAGTGTGCATTGTTGATGCACTCAAGTCACAGTCTGAATAGGTAGTGTTAGTGGTACCAGTTGCTAATGTCCCTGGATTTGTCTGAATAGGTAGTGTTAGTAGTACCAGTTGCTAATGTCCCTGGTTTTGTCGATGCTATAAACAAACCCAGTGGATTAAAAAACTGTTTTGAGCCACTCACTCATAAAACTTCAGAATGTGACTTGTACTGAATCTTGGCTGTGATAGAAGCCAAGAAACAACACCAATTGAAGAAAACTGCTAGCAGCACACAATGTGAAGATGGTAAGTTTATTTAATTATCAGATTCCTTTTCAATTGTAATGTTTATTTAATTCTTTTTTTGATAGCTGCAAGTGTTTTGTAATATTGTATTTTCAGTTGAATGTGATTAGCATGGTACAGAAGAAAAGTGTGCATTGTTGATGCACTCAAGTCACAGTCTGAATAGGTAGTGTTAGTGGTACCAGTTGCTAATGTCCCTGGTTTTGTCTATGCTATAAACAAACCCAGTGGATTAAAAAACTGTTTTGAGCCACTCACTCATAAAACTTCAGAATGTGACTTGTACTGAATCTTGGCTGTGATAGAAGCCAAGAAACAACACCAATTGAAGAAAACTGCTAGCAGCACACAATGTGAAGATGGTAAGTTTATTTAATTATCAAATTCACTTTCAATTGTAATGTTTATTTATTTCTTTTTTTTTTTTGGATAGCTGCAAGTGTTTTGTAATATTGTATTTTCAGTTGAATGTGATTAGCATGGTACAGAAGAAAAGTGTGCATTGTTGATGCACTCAAGTCACAGTCTGAATAGGTAGTGTTAGTGGTACCAGTTGCTAATGTCCCTGGTTGTGTCTATGCTATAAACAAACCCAGTGGATTAAAAAACTGTTTTGAGCCACTCACTCATAAAACTTCAGAATGTGACTTGTACTGAATCTTGGCTGTGATAGAAGCCAAGAAACAACACCAATTGAAGAAAACTGCTAGCAGCACACAATGTGAAGATGGTAAGTTTATTTAATTATCAAATTCACTTTCAATTGTAATGTTTATTTAATTCTTTTTTTTTTTTTTTGATAGCTGCAAGTGTTTTGTAATATTGTATTTTCAGTTGAATGTGATTAGCATGGTACAGAAGAAAAGTGTGCATTGTTGATGCACTCAAGTCACAGTCTGAATAGGTAGTGTTAGTGGTACCAGTTGCTAATGTCCCTGGTTTTGTCTATGCTATAAACAAACCCAGTGGATTAAAAAACTGTTTTGAGCCACTCACTCATAAAACTTCAGAATGTGACTTGTACTGAATCTTGGCTGTGATAGAAGCCAAGAAACAACACCAATTGAAGAAAACTGCTAGCAGCACACAATGTGAAGATGGTAAGTTTATTTAATTATCAAATTCACTTTCAATTGTAATGTTTATTTAATTCTTTTTTGGATAGCTGCAAGTGTTTTGTAATATTGTATTTTCAGTTGAATGTGATTAGCATGGTACAGAAGAAAAGTGTGCATTGTTGATGCACTCAAGTCACAGTCTGAATAGGTAGTGTTAGTGGTACCAGTTGCTAATGTCCCTGGTTTTGTCTATGCTATAAACAAACCCAGTGGATTAAAAAACTGTTTTGAGCCACTCACTCATAAAACTTCAGAATGTGACTTGTACTGAATCTTGGCTGTGATAGAAGCCAAGAAACAACAACAATTGAAGAAAACTGCTAGCAGCACACAATGTGAAGATGGTAAGTTTATTTAATTATCAGATTCACTTTCAATTGTAATGTTTATTTAATTCTTTTTTGGATAGCTGCAAGTGTTTTGTAATATTGTATTTTCAGTTGAATGTGATTAGCATGGTACAGAAGAAAAGTGTGCATTGTTGATGCACTCAAGTCACAGTCTGAATAGGTAGTGTTAGTGGTACCAGTTGCTAATGTCCCTGGTTTTGTCTATGCTATAAACAAACCCAGTGGATTAAAAAACTGTTTTGAGCCACTCACTCATAAAACTTCAGAATGTGACTTGTACTGAATCTTGGCTGTGATAGAAGCCAAGAAACAACACCAATTGAAGAAAACTGCTAGCAGCACACAATGTGAAGATGGTAAGTTTATTTAATTATCAAATTCACTTTCAATTGTAATGTTTATTTAATTCTTTTTTTTTTTTTTTTTTTTTTGATAGCTGCAAGTGTTTTGTAATATTGTATTTTCAGTTGAATGTGATTAGCATGGTACAGAAGAAAAGTGTGCATTGTTGATGCACTCAAGTCACAGTCTGAATAGGTAGTGTTAGTGGTACCAGTTGCTAATGTCCCTGGTTGTGTCTATGCTATAAACAAACCCAGTGGATTAAAAAACTGTTTTGAGCCACTCACTCATAAAACTTCAGAATGTGACTTGTACTGAATCTTGGCTGTGATAGAAGCCAAGAAACAACACCAATTGAAGAATACTGCTAGCAACACACAATGTGTAGAGGGTAAGTTTATTTAATTATCAGATTCTCCTTAAATTGTAACGTTTAGGATAATTGTTTTTGATATCTGCAAGTGTTTTGTAATGTTGTATTTTCAGTTGAATGTGATTAGCATGGTACAGAAGAAAAGTGTGCATTGTTGATGCACTCAAGTCACAGTCTGAATAGGTAGTGTTAGTGGTACCAGTTGCTAATGTCCCTGGTTTTGTCTATGCTATAAACAAACCCAGTGGATTAAAAAACTGTTTTGAGCCACTCACTCATAAAACTTCAGAATGTGACTTGTACTGAATCTTGGCTGTGATAGAAGCCAAGAAACAACACCAATTGAAGAAAACTGCTAGCAGCACACAATGTGAAGATGGTAAGTTTATTCAATTATCAAATTCACTTTCAATTGTAATGTTTATTTAATTCTTTTTTGGATAGCTGCAAGTGTTTTGTAATATTGTATTTTCAGTTGAATGTGATTAGCATGGTACAGAAGAAAAGTGTGCATTGTTGATGCACTCAAGTCACAGTCTGAATAGGTAGTGTTAGTGGTACCAGTTGCTAATGTCCCTGGATTTGTCTGAATAGGTAGTGTTAGTGGTACCAGTTGCTAATGTGCCTGGTGTTGTCGATGCTATAAACAAACCCAGTGGATTAAAAAACTGTTTTGAGCCACTCACTCATAAAACTTCAGAATGTGACTTGTACTGAATCTTGGCTGTGATAGAAGCCAAGAAACAACACCAATTGAAGAAAACTGCTAGCAGCACACAATGTGAAGATGGTAAGTTTATTTAATTATCAAATTCACTTTCAATTGTAATGTTTATTTAATTCTTTTTTGGATAGCTGCAAGTGTTTTGTAATATTGTATTTTCAGTTGAATGTGATTAGCATGGTACAGAAGAAAAGTGTGCATTGTTGATGCACTCAAGTCACAGTCTGAATAGGTAGTGTTAGTGGTACCAGTTGCTAATGTCCCTGGTTTTGTCTATGCTATAAACAAACCCAGTGGATTAAAAAACTGTTTTGAGCCACTCACTCATAAAACTTCAGAATGTGACTTGTACTGAATCTTGGCTGTGATAGAAGCCAAGAAACAACAACAATTGAAGAAAACTGCTAGCAGCACACAATGTGAAGATGGTAAGTTTATTTAATTATCAGATTCACTTTCAATTGTAATGTTTATTTAATTCTTTTTTGGATAGCTGCAAGTGTTTTGTAATATTGTATTTTCAGTTGAATGTGATTAGCATGGTACAGAAGAAAAGTGTGCATTGTTGATGCACTCAAGTCACAGTCTGAATAGGTAGTGTTAGTGGTACCAGTTGCTAATGTCCCTGGTTTTGTCTATGCTATAAACAAACCCAGTGGATTAAAAAACTGTTTTGAGCCACTCACTCATAAAACTTCAGAATGTGACTTGTACTGAATCTTGGCTGTGATAGAAGCCAAGAAACAACACCAATTGAAGAAAACTGCTAGCAGCACACAATGTGAAGATGGTAAGTTTATTTAATTATCAAATTCACTTTCAATTGTAATGTTTATTTAATTCTTTTTTTTTTTTTTTTTTTTTTGATAGCTGCAAGTGTTTTGTAATATTGTATTTTCAGTTGAATGTGATTAGCATGGTACAGAAGAAAAGTGTGCATTGTTGATGCACTCAAGTCACAGTCTGAATAGGTAGTGTTAGTGGTACCAGTTGCTAATGTCCCTGGTTGTGTCTATGCTATAAACAAACCCAGTGGATTAAAAAACTGTTTTGAGCCACTCACTCATAAAACTTCAGAATGTGACTTGTACTGAATCTTGGCTGTGATAGAAGCCAAGAAACAACACCAATTGAAGAATACTGCTAGCAACACACAATGTGTAGAGGGTAAGTTTATTTAATTATCAGATTCTCCTTAAATTGTAACGTTTAGGATAATTGTTTTTGATATCTGCAAGTGTTTTGTAATATTGTATTTTCAGTTGAATGTGATTAGCATGGTACAGAAGAAAAGTGTGCATTGTTGATGCACTCAAGTCACAGTCTGAATAGGTAGTGTTAGTGGTACCAGTTGCTAATGTCCCTGGTTTTGTCTATGCTATAAACAAACCCAGTGGATTAAAAAACTGTTTTGAGCCACTCACTCATAAAACTTCAGAATGTGACTTGTACTGAATCTTGGCTGTGATAGAAGCCAAGAAACAACACCAATTGAAGAAAACTGCTAGCAGCACACAATGTGAAGATGGTAAGTTTATTCAATTATCAAATTCACTTTCAATTGTAATGTTTATTTAATTCTTTTTTGGATAGCTGCAAGTGTTTTGTAATATTGTATTTTCAGTTGAATGTGATTAGCATGGTACAGAAGAAAAGTGTGCATTGTTGATGCACTCAAGTCACAGTCTGAATAGGTAGTGTTAGTGGTACCAGTTGCTAATGTCCCTGGATTTGTCTGAATAGGTAGTGTTAGTGGTACCAGTTGCTAATGTGCCTGGTGTTGTCGATGCTATAAACAAACCCAGTGGATTAAAAAACTGTTTTGAGCCACTCACTCATAAAACTTCAGAATGTGACTTGTACTGAATCTTGGCTGTGATAGAAGCCAAGAAACAACACCAATTGAAGAAAACTGCTAGCAGCACACAATGTGAAGATGGTAAGTTTATTTAATTATCAAATTCACTTTCAATTGTAATGTTTATTTAATTCTTTTTTGGATAGCTGCAAGTGTTTTGTAATATTGTATTTTCAGTTGAATGTGATTAGCATGGTACAGAAGAAAAGTGTGCATTGTTGATGCACTCAAGTCACAGTCTGAATAGGTAGTGTTAGTGGTACCAGTTGCTAATGTCCCTGGTTTTGTCTATGCTATAAACAAACCCAGTGGATTAAAAAACTGTTTTGAGCCACTCACTCATAAAACTTCAGAATGTGACTTGTACTGAATCTTGGCTGTGATAGAAGCCAAGAAACAACAACAATTGAAGAAAACTGCTAGCAGCACACAATGTGAAGATGGTAAGTTTATTTAATTATCAGATTCACTTTCAATTGTAATGTTTATTTAATTCTTTTTTGGATAGCTGCAAGTGTTTTGTAATATTGTATTTTCAGTTGAATGTGATTAGCATGGTACAGAAGAAAAGTGTGCATTGTTGATGCACTCAAGTCACAGTCTGAATAGGTAGTGTTAGTGGTACCAGTTGCTAATGTCCCTGGTTTTGTCTATGCTATAAACAAACCCAGTGGATTAAAAAACTGTTTTGAGCCACTCACTCATAAAACTTCAGAATGTGACTTGTACTGAATCTTGGCTGTGATAGAAGCCAAGAAACAACACCAATTGAAGAAAACTGCTAGCAGCACACAATGTGAAGATGGGAAGTTTATTTAATTATCAAATTCACTTTCAATTGTAATGTTTATTTATTTCTTTTTTTTTTTTTGGATAGCTGCAAGTGTTTTGTAATATTGTATTTTCAGTTGAATGTGATTAGCATGGTACAGAAGAAAAGTGTGCATTGTTGATGCACTCAAGTCACAGTCTGAATAGGTAGTGTTAGTGGTACCAGTTGCTAATGTCCCTGGTTTTGTCTATGCTATAAACAAACCCAGTGGATTAAAAAACTGTTTTGAGCCACTCACTCATAAAACTTCAGAATGTGACTTGTACTGAATCTTGGCTGTGATAGAAGCCAAGAAACAACACCAATTGAAGAAAACTGCTAGCAGCACACAATGTGAAGATGGTAAGTTTATTTAATTATCAGATTCCTTTTCAATTGTAATGTTTATTTAATTCTTTTTTGGATAGCTGCAAGTGTTTTGTAATATTGTATTTTCAGTTGAATGTGATTAGCATGGTACAGAAGAAAAGTGTGCATTGTTGATGCACTCAAGTCACAGTCTGAATAGGTAGTGTTAGTGGTACCAGTTGCTAATGTCCCTGGTTTTGTCTATGCTATAAACAAACCCAGTGGATTAAAAAACTGTTTTGAGCCACTCACTCATAAAACTTCAGAATGTGACTTGTACTGAATCTTGGCTGTGATAGAAGCCAAGAAACAACACCAATTGAAGAATACTGCTAGCAACACACAATGTGTAGAGGGTAAGTTTATTTAATTATCAGATTCTCCTTAAATTGTAACGTTTAGGATAATTGTTTTTGATATCTGCAAGTGTTTTGTAATGTTGTATTTTCAGTTGAATGTGATTAGCATGGTACAGAAGAAAAGTGTGCATTGTTGATGCACTCAAGTCACAGTCTGAATAGGTAGTGTTAGTGGTACCAGTTGCTAATGTCCCTGGTTTTGTCTATGCTATAAACAAACCCAGTGGATTAAAAAACTGTTTTGAGCCACTCACTCATAAAACTTCAGAATGTGACTTGTACTGAATCTTGGCTGTGATAGAAGCCAAGAAACAACACCAATTGAAGAAAACTGCTAGCAGCACACAATGTGAAGATGGTAAGTTTATTCAATTATCAAATTCACTTTCAATTGTAATGTTTATTTAATTCTTTTTTGGATAGCTGCAAGTGTTTTGTAATATTGTATTTTCAGTTGAATGTGATTAGCATGGTACAGAAGAAAAGTGTGCATTGTTGATGCACTCAAGTCACAGTCTGAATAGGTAGTGTTAGTGGTACCAGTTGCTAATGTCCCTGGATTTGTCTGAATAGGTAGTGTTAGTGGTACCAGTTGCTAATGTCCCTGGTGTTGTCGATGCTATAAACAAACCCAGTGGATTAAAAAACTGTTTTGAGCCACTCACTCATAAAACTTCAGAATGTGACTTGTACTGAATCTTGGCTGTGATAGAAGCCAAGAAACAACACCAATTGAAGAAAACTGCTAGCAGCACACAATGTGAAGATGGTAAGTTTATTTAATTATCAAATTCACTTTCAATTGTAATGTTTATTTAATTCTTTTTTGGATAGCTGCAAGTGTTTTGTAATATTGTATTTTCAGTTGAATGTGATTAGCATGGTACAGAAGAAAAGTGTGCATTGTTGATGCACTCAAGTCACAGTCTGAATAGGTAGTGTTAGTGGTACCAGTTGCTAATGTCCCTGGTTTTGTCTATGCTATAAACAAACCCAGTGGATTAAAAAACTGTTTTGAGCCACTCACTCATAAAACTTCAGAATGTGACTTGTACTGAATCTTGGCTGTGATAGAAGCCAAGAAACAACACCAATTGAAGAAAACTGCTAGCAGCACACAATGTGAAGATGGTAAGTTTATTTAATTATCAGATTCCTTTTCAATTGTAATGTTTATTTAATTCTTTTTTGGATAGCTGCAAGTGTTTTGTAATATTGTATTTTCAGTTGAATGTGATTAGCATGGTACAGAAGAAAAGTGTGCATTGTTGATGCACTCAAGTCACAGTCTGAATAGGTAGTGTTAGTGGTACCAGTTGCTAATGTCCCTGGTTTTGTCTATGCTATAAACAAACCCAGTGGATTAAAAAACTGTTTTGAGCCACTCACTCATAAAACTTCAGAATGTGACTTGTACTGAATCTTGGCTGTGATAGAAGCCAAGAAACAACACCAATTGAAGAAAACTGCTAGCAGCACACAATGTGAAGATGGTAAGTTTATTTAATTATCAAATTCACTTTCAATTGTAATGTTTATTTATTTCTTTTTTTTTTTTTTTTTGATAGCTGCAAGTGTTTTGTAATATTGTATTTTCAGTTGAATGTGATAAGCATGGTACAGAAGAAAAGTGTGCATTGTTGATGCACTCAAGTCATAGTCTGAATAGGTAGTGTTAGTGGTACCAGTTGCTAATGTCCCTGGTTGTGTCTATGCTATAAACAAACCCAGTGGATTAAAAAACTGTTTTGAGCCACTCACTCATAAAACTTCAGAATGTGACTTGTACTGAATCTTGGCTGTGATAGAAGCCAAGAAACAACACCAATTGAAGAAAACTGCTAGCAGCACACAATGTGAAGATGGTAAGTTTATTTAATTATCAAATTCACTTTCGATTGTAATGTTTATTTAATTCTTTTTTTTTTTTTTTGATAGCTGCAAGTGTTTTGTAATATTGTATTTTCAGTTGAATGTGATTAGCATGGTACAGAAGAAAAGTGTGCATTGTTGATGCACTCAAGTCACAGTCTGAATAGGTAGTGTTAGTGGTACCAGTTGCTAATGTCCCTGGTTTTGTCTATGCTATAAACAAACCCAGTGGATTAAAAAACTGTTTTGAGCCACTCACTCATAAAACTTCAGAATGTGACTTGTACTGAATCTTGGCTGTGATAGAAGCCAAGAAACAACACCAATTGAAGAAAACTGCTAGCAGCACACAATGTGAAGATGGTAAGTTTATTTAATTATCAAATTCACTTTCAATTGTAATGTTTATTTAATTCTTTTTTTTTTTTTTGATAGCTGCAAGTGTTTTGTAATATTGTATTTTCAGTTGAATGTGATTAGCATGGTACAGAAGAAAAGTGTGCATTGTTGATGCACTCAAGTCACAGTCTGAATAGGTAGTGTTAGTGGTACCAGTTGCTAATGTCCCTGGTTTTGTCTATGCTATAAACAAACCCAGTGGATTAAAAAAACTATTTTGAGCCACTCACTCATAAAACTTCAGAATGTGACTTGTACTGAATCTTGGCTGTGATAGAAGCCAAGAAACAACACCAATTGAAGAAAACTGCTAGCAGCACACAATGTGAAGATGGTAAGTTTATTTAATTATCAGATTCCTTTTCAATTGTAATGTCTATTTAATTCTTTTTTTTTTTTTGATAGCTGCAAGTGTTTTGTAATATTGTATTTTCAGTTGAATGTGATTAGCATGGTACAGAAGAAAAGTGTGCATTGTTGATGCACTCAAGTCACAGTCTGAATAGGTAGTGTTAGTGGTACCAGTTGCTAATGTCCCTGGTTTTGTCTATGCTATAACAAACCCAGTGGATTAAAAAACTGTTTTGAGCCACTCACTCATAAAACTTCAGAATGTGACTTGTACTGAATCTTGGCTGTGATAGAAGCCAAGAAACAACACCAATTGAAGAAAACTGCTAGCAGCACACAATGTGAAGATGGTAAGTTTATTTAATTATCAAATTCACTTTCAATTGTAATGTTTATTTAATTCTTTTTTTTTTTTGATAGCTGCAAGTGTTTTGTAATATTGTATTTTCAGTTGAATGTGATTAGCATGGTACAGAAGAAAAGTGTGCATTGTTGATGTACTCAAGTCACAGTCTGAATAGGTAGTGTTAGTGGTACCAGTTGCTAATGTCCCTGGTTTTGTCTATGCTATAAACAAACCAAGTGGATTAAAAAACTGTTTTGAGCCACTCACTCATAAAACTTCAGAATGTGACTTGTACTGAATCTTGGCTGTGATAGAAGCCAAGAAACAACACTGATTGAAGTGTAATAGCATGCATTATACACACTGAGGAAGGTAAAGTCATTTTCATTTTGTTTGATATTTTTCTGATTAGTTTTTAACTGTTTTTTGTTAGCTGATTCCGAAAATAAGATTGTTATTTGATTGGTCGTTATAATATCATTTCATTGTCTTAATGAGTTATGGTAGTGGTACATTTACAAAAATCCCTTGTTTTAGGTATTCTGTGTATTAAAATTTTTTTCAGCCACACCCACTCATAAAAGAGTTCAGAACGTGACGTGTATAAAGTCTTGAATGCGATGGATGCCAAGAAATATCACATTGTGAGTGATATAGAAGTAAGAAGTAAGAAGCAATACTGATTGAAGCATATCTTTCATGAGTACACTATGCATATAGTTTGTTGAATTCGTTCCTACACTATATGTTATATCATTTTATTGAGTCTTTTAACTTTGACTTTATTAGTTTTTATTGTTCAGTTGAATGTTAAGCAAGGAGTAATGTCATAAATATCCTTAGTTTTGTATATGTGATAGACATTCATACGTGCAAGTAGTAAGAGTAATTCTCATTCATTATGCAATGGCATATTGTAATCCAGAATTTCACGTACACAAAAAAAACATTTTATGATATTTCTATCACGTGCAGTTTGATAACTAAGTTGACAATAAAATGGCAAAAGCGAGATAACTGATGTATGAAATATATTAATTCTATAAATGCAGATCAAATTTTCATGGTTTGAGGAATAAATAGATTTGCAATTGAAGACGGGTTGAGTATATATATATATATATATATATATATATATATATATATATATATATATATATATATATATATATATATATATATATATATATATCAAAATTTACATTCTGTGATGGACATAAATTCGTGGGTCTCTTCATACCTTAAATCCCCACGAAAATTAATGATTACACAGTATTGCAATGATTGAAGCCTACATGTAATTTCTTATCCAATATATTTATATGTCCTTGTGGAGTGGGACATTGTAGTTGTTAAACAAACAAAGAGATATTTGTCAAAATGTGTGTATATTGTTTACTTATCGTTAAATTAGCTAATGATAAATACCGTATGAGCAGAATTTTTAGCGAGGATTCAATTTTGGGATTATTAGCGAGGGTTACGAGATTGCTAAAATTGAAGATCGCTAACAATTTATTCCGTATCTGTTGTTATAGCTATCTCTCTTGACATTATATATTCGCTAAAATTATTTCTCGCTAAAAATATTTACTAATTTTGGGGGATAAATCGCTAAATGGGCACCTCGCTAAAATTTCCACTTGTACGGTATCTTACAAATTCGGTGATGTGGATGGTGTGGAAAACAAAGAATAATTGCAATGTGTTTTTTTTAGTCTTCTTCAGAAACAATACCAAATAATGTTGAAGGGGGGGGGGGGGGAGGGGGGGAGTGGTCTCCTGGTTACTCCTTTTTTTAAATTTTGTCTTAAACAAGAAGCACAATATAGTTTTATTCTACAATATTTAAAAACTAATTTCTTAAAAAGATTGTATATAACAAATTCAAGTATATAGAAAGATTCGCAAAGACAATCTCTAATAAAATTTATATAATTATCGTATTGAATATGCCATGTTTCATAATAAGCATTACTATTTCATTTGAAATGGCTATGAATTTTTCCTTACTGTTTTGTTTGAACCTAAAATTTGTCACCTCTGTTTACAGTATATTCAGTGTGTTTAATGCTTGCTATTTTGCGATTGTTCAGTTTTATTATGTGACTGTGGGTATATTGAACTTGCTGTGTATTTATAGTTTTGATAAGTTCACATAATGTAAAAGGGAAGGGGCATTTTCAATGTTTGGCCCTTTATTGGTCCCCAGAATGAAAATGAAAATTGCGAAACCTTTTTGCACATCATCTAAGCCACCACAAATCATATTCCAAAAGAAAAATCGGATACTGCATATTATGTAAGAGTTTTGTGGTTTAAAAGAAAAAAAGAAGAAGCTTTTTTTTTAACCCTAATTGGAACTTCCGGATGAAAATGAAAAATTCTGCAATTTATTACACATCTGCAGGATACCACTCATCATATTTCAAAAAATGAATTAGCTACATGCGTAAAATGTATGAAGATTTAGATTCTTAGAACCTAGACTTTGTACATAAATGATTTAGATTCTTAGAACCTAGACTTTGTACATAAATGAGTTGGCCTCCGAATGAAAGTGAAAATTCCAAAACCTTTTTGTGCTTCTTGTCATGATCGGGCAAACGGAAAAAATCGGGAGACAGTTCAGCGTGAATATAATGGCTTAACAATATGTATGAAAAACGTCAGTCGACTTATGGATGTTTTAGCATTGTCATGTTGAAAACTTTATCATCCTGTATATGAATTTTCCTATCAAAGGTTTTTATATTGCTTATTCGTTAAATACTTTATAAGTAGTCACTAGTAATTTTAGTAAAATGCAATTTGGGATTTCCTTTCACATGCGCAAGAAATACTATTAAAAGGTTACATGTATTAATTTTTAGGGACAGAACATCTTGGTGAATCTCTATTTCAAACAAATCAGTAACCTTTACATGCGTATATTACAAGTAGGTATATTCAACATACCGGTATTCAGATTAAAGATTTCAACCCCCCCCCCCCCCCGCGCTTTGCAGGCAGCGTACCACATTTGAAATTCTCTATTTAGAAAGTCTTCAGTCTTCTTGCAGGCTTAAGCAGCTTTTGACAGCTAAAATCGGTTCGCTGATCTTTTTATACTTATCGAGTATCTAACAAATTTTGAAGTAAACGACAAGATCAAAATGAGGGTCATTTCTGTAAGAATATTATATTGCTAATAACAATCATGAGCGACAACGCTTCTCATATGGGTATAATATCTAGACAATGTTCAGTTCTATAGCGATCCTGATACCCTCGATCTCTGCCAAATTTTGGTCCGCACTAAAAATTCTATTTATACTGTATAAAGTGAGAAATGTTTACCATTATTGATAATCAATCTTTTGTAAGTTACTTGTAGCACTCGTAGTTCTCTGATCATCAGGTTTTTTTATTGTCTTGAGTCGGGCATAAGAACTAAAGCACCAATTTAAAATAAACATTTCATTTTAAGAAACATTAGAAAAATAATGCAATTTGGTATGTCTGAGTTTTTTTTTTCTAAATGTTACAATTGATATATATATATATTTTAAGAAAATCATATTTTCTCAATGCCGGACGGATTTGAATGTAAGATTGACAAAATCACTTCACTTGCCAAGCAAGTTAATGTCTCTTTCACATTTTAAAGTTTATTTTAATAATAAACACAGGTTTTGAATCATAAATAAGCATAAAATAGATATTGACTTCCATCCCTGTAAGCCAACGGCGCCTAAAAAGTTTGTGTAATCCTTATATTATTGCTCATGCAACATAAATATGAAAGGGAAGAACATGTCTGACATTGTAATCCCTGTTTACAGAATCTGTAATATACATTGATCCATGCTCATCCACAGCTCCGTGTGATGCATAGATTCCCATACATTTTTATGGATATAAACTTCAACCACAAGTCGTAAACTACAAAATAAGGGTGATAAACGTGAAGTGGTCATACTTCTCACAATATCAGAATCACCATCGTCGGTCCTTTTTAATCCCTGTTTTGGTACTGGCTCGTTATCTTGTCTTAATCCACCGGTTACCGTACATAAAATGGGGATGTGAAAATCACCCTCTTTCTTTACTGGCTAATTGACCATGCGAATGATAAGAAGCTCTCCCATTTCGGAAACGTCAAGAAGAACTGCATTACCCTGACCTGTGACCTTTCAATTTGCGCCCCTTCTGTCTCTGTGAAGGCTGGCATCATTCATTTTCGGAATAATCGGGATTTTCATGAATAAACTGATATCCCGTTATTTTGATTCATTGCAGAATTCTTTGGATTTCAAATGTTGTCAGAGTTTGAAATGAACAACAAATCTATTTTTAGTTTTCTAAATAATTGATGATAATAATGATGATGATGGCATATTTATCGGGTTATAACTTAGTTTTCATTACTTCGGATTTCTGGAAACGTGAGTCAATCAAGAATACAAAGGACCATCTGATGACATTTTTTTCGGAATTTTTTCATCTTCTCAATCATTTTACAAAAGTTGTTAATTTCCTAACTTTTACATCACTGCCTCTTATGATTTATGAATTACTTTTAATCATGGACGTCATTGTAATCTTATTATTTCGCCTAACGTCTGCTTGCAACAGGTTGTCGGATAATCACACAACCTGCGCCTCTCCGGATTCTTAATTTTTACTGACTACAATGATTTTCTGTCACTTGAACCCGTTTCTTGATCAACAAGTAGTTTATCAATATTGATTTGTATCCCGTGGTTTATACAAGAACTATGACTTTCAAATCTTAAGAAACTTTACCTTCAAAGAACGTGGGTCAATAAGTCTGCATAAATGCCCATGGATGGATAAGGGGGAAAAGACGATAACTTGAACCTTTCCAAATTCTGTTTAAATATTTATTCTATTATATTTATTTGTTATACTTTAGTTTCATCAGTATTGAAATTTATTAGCAAGAAAATTACCATCTTCGCTAGCCAAGGGTTTCTGATACGCTACTCTCCTCATAAGCCCTTGGCATACGGTGTTAAAAAAAGTTGGGATTTTTTTTCTCAAGTTGTGATTGGAATTGATCGACATCATTCGACCAATCAGCAATTGTTTTTTGTAAATGACGATATTTGCGTTC